GCACAGAAGCCTGGCAGGCAGACGCCGAACAGAGATATGGAGAGGCCATCTATGAGCCCAAGTCCCAACGAGCTGAACGTCTACGACTGGCGCATTTGCCTGGAGCTTTGTTGGTGGAGATCCCCAACAACTGGACCTTGTGCAGCAGCACCCAGGATTGCGGCAGGATCGAATTTCTGGCCAAAGAGGTAGAGGCTGGATCCAAGAAGAAACCTGACACAATGATCATGGCCAGAGCCTTAGAAACAGGTCGATTCTTAGTAGATGATGCACCTGCAGCCAGCTATAACATACATACATCAACGTACCAGATATCCCATGATATCCCTGCAGGATTCACAACAGAGCAGTAAGCTACTTCTTTTCACGTGCAACTTCTGTGTGAAGACGGCGGGATACCAATGATGAAGCTCAGTGCAACACAGTACGACAATGCTTTCCAGATACATTTGTTATCATTTGTTGGTGGTTGTTGTTTTTTATCCCCACCCTAGATGACAATGATAATCCCCTATAGATCCCTGTGACTATTTTCCCAGAAGGTGGACCAAAAAAACACGAGGTGGCCCATTTTGAGGAACGAAATATGCCAATCTCTTCAAATCCCAGGCCAAAAAGAAGCAGATCTTCGTGAAATTCAGCGTCGAGAAAGGGGAAGCAGCTGCTGCTGAGATGGCTGGTGAGGCACCACCAGCTGAATCTTGGTAAAAACAGTGGCCTCAAAACAGCGTTATAAAATGTTACAAAGGGGAAACTCATTCCCAATATCCCAAAATTGGGTTTGCGAATTTGGCAGATTTGCCGTGTTTTTTGCAGAATTGGCCATTCCAAGTAGTGAAACATGGTAAAGAGTGGGGACGCTCCAATCCATTGATCTAGATCTCAATGACTCTATGTACTGTATAGATGGAGATACGACATATACACTACATATATAAACATACCTGCAACCTCCAGATGGCACAAATAAATGCTCGTTTCAGAGATTTCTGCCGTCTAAGCGGTTTTTCTGGAATTTAGCGTTTTTGGGTCCACCTGAGCATTTTTTCATTTTGGCACGTGTGAAGCCATTTTGGCTTCATTTTGCTGATCACTGATCCTGCCTCCAAATGGAAGTGCTTGGTACGCTCCCCCCGCTAGCTCTGCATTGCTTTTTCAAGAGGTTTGGGATCAGTCAGTTTCTTTCAATCTTTCGGTCATTTCTTCAGCATTTTGCAGCTACATTTAGCTCAAACAGAAGGCATCGGCTTCAGAGTCATGAGTAGTGAACCCCACTTCAAGCAATGCAGCCCAGATGTTCTGAAGCTCGCTGAAGCTGAAGGACTCCGTTTTTCCAATTTGATCACTGCGTGCCCTCTGCATGCTACAGTTGTGTAGCCTACAGCCTTCTTAGCCTGCAGGACTACTTAGTTTTCCTCAAAAGTTTTGGAACGAGGTCGCCAGGGTTCTGTTTTCGGAGGATGCTAGCCAGGCACGGGTGATTGGGGTGAGCTGTCAACTCATGCCAGCACTCAAAGCCTTACACTGGTAACTTGTTGAATTTGTTGAAGTTAAACAAACAAAGTATATACTTTCTTCCAGTGATCCCCACCAAGTGAATTTGTTTGACTCTATCTGGCCTGCACATTTTATCTCACATATTTTCTGACATTGTATCTGGCATTCTTTCTGGTATATCTTCGGAGATTCTTTGTGGTGGAGGTCCGGCGGGGAACACTCTGATCCGGAGCTCGCGGTGGAGGTCCGCCGGGGAACACTTTGATCCGGAGCTTGCGGTGGAGGTCCGGCAGGGAACACGTTGGTCCGGAGCTTCCGGTGGAGGTCCGGCGGGGAACACTCTGATCCTGAGCTTGCGGTGGAGGTCCGCCGAGGAACACTCTGATCCGGAGCTTGCGGTGGAGGATCACTTTGATCCAGGGCCGGGCGGTTGAGGTCCGGCGGGGATCACTTTGATCTTTTGCAGTTGAGGTCCGGCTGAAGAAGGAGAGGGAAGGAGAAGGAAGGAAGGAGGCGGGCACGCTCACATAAAGTCTAACAACCCTCACCTGACAGGTGGGGAATTGCATCATAGAAATGCAAACCTCCAGGTGAATATCACGGACAACATGATGAAAGACATCGTAGAGAATTACAAGACTGGTGGCTCAGTGAAGGACCTCGCCAAGTACTACAAGTCGTGTGTTGCCCTTGCTAGCCTTCTGTCTCAAGAATTGTTTTTTGATCGGTGTTTGTTTATGTATATCATGTGACACGCATCGCTAGCTTGAAGTATCTTGAGTTGAATCCAAGGCAACCCTCATGATGAGGGCACTCGCAACACTGAGAGCTGAGAAGCACATGGCTAGTTAGGCAACTTTTTTGATTTGTAAAGACCTGTGGCTTTGATTCTTGCTTGGAATCTGCTCGCCCCACTGGGAATGAAACCATGTAGCTGCCATGCCTATTCCAATTTGCGAGTGCCAAACCCACCATGAAAAGAGGCACACTTAGCTCCACTTGGCCCTTTTCCACCTCGCAGGTTGATGGTGCTGTGGTGTGGAGCTGCGGCTGCCAGGTGCCAACACTGATCTGTCTGGGTGACGCTTGAATTTCTTCTTGGGATCTTAGGCATGGACTTGCAGTGTCTGGCCAACATACCATCCTTGATCATCCCCCCAAAAGAATTAAAACAATCATGGCCATCTCCTAGCTGTGGAATGGAGCTGGTGTTTTTCTAGATTGTTTGGCTCAAGGTTGCGCAACTCTTCCCTGAAAAAAATTGGGGACAATGTCGATGAAAGGGTTGGCTAGAGTTCTGGAAAAAGATGAGGCCGCCAGCGCTTTGAGGGCAAAGCTCTTGAAAGATGGGTCTTTGATTGCCTGGCCGGGTCCCACGATGGTGGGCGTGACTAAGAACAAGGAGGCCCAGCGCATCAACACTCCTTTGCTGAAGTTGGTTGCTGACTTCTGGTGCCCACAATGGACTGCGCCGGCCATGATACCCATAGATGATATCAAAGCTGAGGTGTTTGGTGCAAAATTGCAAACGTAGGTCCCCATCAAAACTGTTTACAGTATTCTCCTGAATCAAAGTATATATGCTTTTACTATAAGCAGGCTATTATATAGTTGTTGTTTTTTCCCTGGGATACTATATCCAACATCTGACAGCCATCATGGGGCAGCTCTTCAGGTGAGAAAACTTCGTGAATACCTTTCCTTGCCTTGCCGGCCAGCCCAAGTTCATTGCGATGGTGACGCGATCAAGACTTTTGTGACAGCTATCAGCAGGGAACTTCACAACGCTGAGACCAAAAGGGAACCTTTACGTAGATGTTTACATCATATCTTTGTGCTCCCACGTTAAAAAGATACATAGTATGAACACATATATGGAATATAGATGTTCATAACATTTTTTCGGCCCCTTGAGAGAAACTTTTCTCTTCACTCATGGGTTCAGCAGCGCCAGGACCCATTGGTGCACGAGCTCTACTCGCATTTCCGGGCGTATTGGCCCCACAAGAGGTCCCAAGTTTCCCAGGAGCCACCGGAGGTGGAGGCTGCTGTGGGTGAGGCGGAGGCTGCTGGGCGTGGTGCAGGGGAGGCCGCTGATAATCGTCCAAGTCCTGAGTCTGAAGAGTCGCTGGACGAGGAAGTTGATGATGTCGAGCTTGCTTTGGCATTGGGAGTGCCATCCAACTGCGTTGAGAAGATGAGTCCGCGAAAGGTGGCTGTGCCAGATGGTTCCATGGATGGACAGGAGGTCCATCCCAAGGAACCTTCCCACACCTCAGGGATTGCCCAGCCAGAGCTGTCTGCAGCAGAGCTTCGTGACCTTCGAATCCAAGAGCTGACGTTTCCAGACTTGATTTAAGCATATTTCTGTTGGTGGCTGGTTGCTCAGCCCCTCATCGTGTTAATTTGTGGTCACACCGATGTATAATATTAATTCTGGCACGGCTTGGTGGCTAAGGGCCCTTCTGGCGAAGTGCAAGCGGACACCCATGGTGACTGCCGCCGAAGCTTCAGTGCCAGCAGTGCAGCCTGAAAATCCAGACCAAGTGCAGACAGTGCCCTGCGACCTCACTCCGATCGTGAAAACTTTCTATGGCCCCGTGGAATCCAAGTCCAATGCCTTCCAGCATGCAGAGATGGACGACAAGAATGATCCCGAATCTTTGCTGACTGCGAAGACCAGGCGACTTGACTCTTTCGCAGATCCACCAGAAGTAGCCCGGCCGGATTCTTCTGAGTCCAAGCTTGCAGCAGCTAGTGCTGCCGGAGGTGAAGAGGCTGATGGTGAAGAGATCGAACCTCGAAATTTGGATTCGGTTTTTGATGCGGAGGCAAGGCCATGAGATTTGGGCTCTTTCGTGTTCTTGGGTTCTTCCATGTTCTTGCAAATGAAGTTTTCCCATGTTTTCCCCATTGTCTCCTTTTCACTGGTCACCTGACCTTCGTTCAATGTCCTCTTGGTCAGGCAGACATCAGCCGCATGGAGCAGCAGAATTGGAAACGAGAGCTAGATCGGCAATCCAAGAAGGAGGACGAGGGGGACGGCAATGAGACAGAGAAGCCTTCCAGTGCGGGTCGCAAGCCCCGTGCCAAGGCGAAGGCCAAGGCAAAGTCCAAGGCGAAGGCTAAGGCGAAGTCCACCAGAACCAAGACAGTTGCAGCTGCTGAGGAGGGGGAGAAGAAGAAGACAGGTCGTGGAAAGAAGAAAGCCTTGCGGGATCAGTCTGAGCCTGACCTGGTCACTCCACCCCCCAAGGAGTCCAAAGTGCGTGGGACAGGATCCAAGCGAAAGGCCCCAAAGAACGACTTGGACGAGGTTGAGGGGAAGAAGGTGAAAAAGACTTTTGCGCGGCGCTACCGACCCACCACGGCCAGCGGCGCTGCTTTGTGGGATGCTTTGTCCGCTGCTTTTGCGACGGTAGCCATCCAGTTGAATGCCCCGTCCAAGATGGAGGCTTTGGTGTTGAAAGCAGGGATCCAAACTATGGAAAGGGCCATAAAAATGTTAATGAATTGTTAATGAATTGGGACATCTACAAGAATCCTGATGCGTCGCCCTGAGAGGCTTCCTTTTGGACCTATGCTGTTGGCAAGTTTTCTGATGAAGGCTTCGACATCGGATCCATGACTCAGAAAGATTTGGACGGTGAAGCGCAGACCGCAGCCGGCATGTTTGTGTATGAGCAGAACCAGCGCATGGCAGCAGCCACCAGTGCTGCAGAGCCTTAGGGTGTTACTTTTCCTGAAGCCTACCTGCTGGCTGGGCATGGTATGTTTTGACATCCATGTTGAATTGTGAGACTTGTTCCTCTATACCATGGATCTGGGTGCCATAGTACCAGCAGGCGTTGCTTCGCTTTGATGTGCCAATAGGACACGATGACAACCGGGGGTGCTCAAAAGCGGTCTGTATCAAATCTTTAATATCTGTCTCACTCCAGCCCCAACATGTCGAAATGTATGTAAGCTCCTTGAGGTGATTCAGTTCCCTTGTTTTTGACCCCCGTGGTTCCTGTCCTCGCCTCTCAACTCCTGGACTGCCAGGTGCATTGCTGATGACAGGCCTCCCGAGAGGCTGCAGTGCATTCGCTAAATATGGTTTCATGCAGAGTAGCCCTGGCTTGGTTACATGGACTATGAGCTTTACTGGGCCGGGTGTTGGTATGCTGCTTGATCGGCGTATAATCACGTTGAACTGTTAACTGATACGTCTACCTGCAGCTTTTTCCAGAGAGCACATCCATCTGATTTGATCTGGTAGCGCCATGTCACCATCTCAACTGGAAACCGTTTTGAAACGGTTGGCTCATTTTGGAGCCCCAAAGGATTCTCTTCTGCACTTGTAGAGTACGCAAGACATATTGGATTTCAAACGGTAACTAAGAATGAGCGAATTGAAACCGGACCGCCCGACTTGAGGCCTTTCTCTTGGTCATTCTCTTACTCTCATGGCAGTCCTTTTTCGACCTTGGGCGATCGCGGGAGTACGAGGTAGTGGAATACTTTGCTGGCTGCGCCAGGATCTCTCGTATGGCGGCTGGCATGGGATACAGGAGTGCAGCTATGGACTTGGTTTACGATAACCCTAAATACTTTGAAGGGGTGCCTGCATCCCTGGGCTCTAAGCCTACCTGGAAAAAGATGGAAACACAACTCAGAAGCCCCATGGATTTGACAACGGAAGGGGGTTTTACGCACCTTGGTCCCACTATGTTCAAATGAAGTTTCCATAGTTTCCACCGTTTTTGAAGAGGTTTCCCTTATCATACCCTATAATAGTATACAGTGTACCTCTCTTGCTTTACCCATTCACAAACATTGCATCTGATCCCAGGTGTGCCATTTGCGTGGCCCTTGAAGGGAAACTCGACAACCTGGTCACCTTTTGGGGAATATGTTGCAGCTCTTGGGTACACATGAACACAGGAACATCTCAGAGAGATGCCCTAACACCAATGGGGTGTGCAGCTTTTCATTCGGTCAACATGGCCAATCTTCTTACTTCGAGGTTGGGGTGTCAAATGATGGTTGAAAACCCAATTGTATTTGCAGGGCTGCACTCAAGCTCCAGCTCCCTGAGGTCAATTCTCCTAATCCTCCTATGCATTTGCATGGGAGGGGTCCCAGTGATCGAAAACCCTGGCACATCTTTGATCTGGATGCATGACAGATTCCAATGGCTGTTGGAAGTGTTGGAGCGATGTGGCATGAAGGTCACTTGACGTAGATAACAATGGTCATGGATTTAAATAATATGAAAAGCTGTCTGGTTGTTCAAGTGACTCCTTCCTTTATATTGGTTTGTCCCTGCGACACTAAGATGTACAAGCAGCGATTTTGGATGTGCCACTTCAACAGTCCCTCTATGAAAAGAACGATTCTCTGGTCTACAGGATCAGCCATTGCAGCTCTCAAAAGGTACGCAACTATGAAGAAGGCAGATTTCACTTTTGACCCCAAAAATAGCACCACAGTCCGATACACCAACTCTGGGGGCAAGAAAGCGTATAAAGGCAGTTCAAAGCTGAAGGCAAGTCAGAGCTTCGGTAGCAGCTTAAGTTTTGAATAGTACTCAACTTTTTGCTTCGAACTGTTTGAGAAAGATGAAGGGTTTTCTGATCACACAAGACCGTTGAAACTAAGGACCTATACCCCGCAATTTGCAGCCTTCACTGCAAGAATGTTGCCTTTCCTGACTGATTCAAAATTCAAACAGAAACTCCCAGCTGCCCCTTGTTTCAAATAATTTCTCTCGGCTTTTTGTTCCCTGCCCTGAATACAACCTGTCCTATAGACTTGCATAGGGTCCCGAGCCTCTCCTCAGGTGGACGAGTCGAAGCCATTCATTCAAATCTTCGAGGAGATGGGTTGGGGTGACGTTTGGGATGACGCTTTACTGAGACATGTTGTGCGATACGTCCGTGGATCTAGTTCCCTCTGCATTCCAGAGGAATGGCGGCCTCTAATTCCCACTGCACTCTAAAAGAGTGGGATCGAAACGTGCAAATGGCAAAAGCATGAGTTGAGAAGCAAAAAAGACACAAAAAAAGTGAGCGTAAATTCCCGGGAAAATAGCGTAAATTCCCGGGAAAATAGCGTAAATTCCCGTCCGCCAGTTTGGGCATGATTTTCAAGAGTCTGAAAACGTATTTTGGCACTTGTTGAACACCAATGCGTTGAACTAATCAGCTGCTTTTCGGTTTTGCTCAGGCTTTTGAAAAATAGGGGATGGCTGTGAAGTTCCCAAGTAGGGCCTGGTCTTGTTCAACCCTCCAACGCGGTCTGAGCCTTGTGCCCACCATTCCAATGAGTGTGGCAGCGCCTCATGAGCCTGATGTCGCTGCGATGCAACGAGAACTTGAGCAGTTGAAGGTGCGGGTCCGGTCAAGTTTTAGCGGGCTATGACAGGAGATGGGAAAAACAAATATCTATATATATATATATATACATTATATAATTATATATATATTATATAAAAAACAACATATAGTCATGCATTGAGCTTGGCAGGCTTGGGTGTGCATGGTTCATCTTTAAGTGGTCCAATGAATGCAACATTTTGGCTCAAGTTGGGAGCTGACCCAAAATAGCATTCATTGTGTTTTCGTTTCCCCACCCACCCAACGCTAACTGGCGGCCTCCTGCGGAGTAGCCCGCCTAGGTTCGGGTGCCTGCGCGGCAGGCGAGTGCATCGTCTTTTCAAAATACAGGAAGGTATAGTTTCCAGCTGTGTGCGGGTAATACCTGTGAAGACAGGTTCCAACCTGGCGTGACCAGGTAGTTCCTGACCAGTAGTGGAAACTGGTCTGGGGCTGTGCACTTGTCACACAGTAACCGATCCAAGGCAAACTCGAGGAGAGCGGGTGAGAACGAAGACTGCTTGGCAGTGGATGAAAAAGAGTGCAGCGGAGTTGAGTTCGGTGAAATCACGTGTGTCATGTACATATAATATATATATATATATTTAACATCATATATATAATATATATATATATATATATGATTTTTTAACATGTATTAAACTTCACGAGCTCCTGGGATTTTGTGATTTTTAGGGAATATTGGATATCAAGGTCAAGATGCAATATTTGGTGCAGTGTACGCGCACAAGGGTGGCACCAAAAAACTTAAGCGTCATGGTTTGCACGGGTTTGCACTGGATCAGCCTTCCATAAATGGAAGTGGTCCAATAAATCGTTCACAAAAAATGAAACGGTCGGAAACGGTCGGAAACGGTCGGAAACATGATCAGGCCAAAACTTGTTCAACCCACATTTTTTTAAAAATAAGCATTTCCGCGCAACGCCGTTTTTTTTTGAAGGTCCAAAGGTGTCCAAGGGGAAACGGTTGGAAACAGTCGGAGATCGCACCTTCGCTCGGCAAAAAAGACATGTTTTTTACACAATTTTCAAACATTTTTCATGAACATATGCTACAAAACAACTACTTTTTTGCCGAGCGAAGGTGCGATCTCCGACTGTTTCCAACCGTTTCCCCTTGGACACCTTTGGACCTTGAAAAAATAACGGCATTGTGCGGAAATGCTTAATTTAAAAAAATGCGGGTTGAACAAGTTTTGGCCTGATCATGTTTCTGACCGTTTCCGACCGTTTCCGACTGTTTCCGACCGTTTCCGACCGTTTCCGACCGTTTCATTTTTTCTGAACGATTTATTGGACCACTTCCATTTATAGAAGGCTGATCCAGTGCAAACCCGTGCAAACAATGACGCTTAAGTTTTTTGGTGCCACCCTTGTGCGCGTACACTGCACCCAACATTGCATCTTGACCTTGATATCCAATATTCCCTAAAAATCACAAAATCCCAGGAGCTCGTGAAATTTAATATTAACATGCATCTAAATATAATATGAGATATATTATATATTATACATATATATATATATATGTGTGTGAACATATTCACTTCTAGAGCTTATTTTAATACACAAGGGATGAGATACCATTCTAGCAAGATACTCTGGGGCAAAGCCTAGGTGCCACAACGTTGAAAGCACATCGCAATAGTATTTGCTAAAAGCGGAAACAGCCAGGAATCAGCCATCCAAATTCCTTCGCAGTTCCTGGGGCCAATTTGATACCCATGGCTTCCAGGCTGAGAGAGAAGCGGATGAAATCCGGGCCGCGCAAGCGGCTGTCGTGCCAAAGGGCCCCCATGACACACTACCACCGGGTGTGGTGGAGGTGGTGGATTCCCAACCGGCAACGCCAGATGGGAGATACTTAGTTCATTCTATGTTTTACTAGGATACAATCCTCAGAATCCCTTCCCCGTGGCGATCTCATCCATAGAAATGTTCTCAAACCTCCCAGCTTCATTTTGACAGGGTCTTTAAGTTTCTTCGGAAAAGGGAAGTTTGAACAGCTAATTTTTTCATCGCATCCCAGGGAAGCTTCACGATGGTGACCAGGGAGATGATCAAGATTTTCCAGCGACACAACCAGATTCCCCCCAGGGCAAGCTTCTTACGTTCCAGGACCTGGTTTTTTTTCCCCAAGATGGGTTTATTAAACATTGTTTTGGTGGATTTTCTTGAAGAACCAACCCTGAAATAGGAATGGAGGGAGTTGCAAGATCGCTATGTTGAGACACCTTTGACTGCCGTTGCCTCCCCCCCGGGTTTGCCTGAAACGCCTGCGGAGCAGCAGGTCGAAACTCATTCGCTTGAAAGCGGAGCTGACAAGGCTGATGGCCATGTTCCCACCCCTGCCCAGAAGCCAGGGGTGGCCCTCTCCAAGGATGCTATTGATAAGAGGCTTCGCCGTGTTTTTCAGCCACGGGCTTATGGGACTTATTTGGTCAGTGAAGATTTTGTGAAGAAATGCACCGCCCGGGGTGAAGATCGTGAAAAGCTACTTATCATGTTTGAGAAGTGCGATTACGCCCCGGACAATGGTTCCCAAAGTTGGTTGACAATGTTTCCAAGTTCCAACAGACTCTCAGCATGTAGAAATTGTTTTTATGATCAAACACGATATTGAAGCTGGTGGGTTGCCACTGTCTGCCCCGTCAGGACAAGTTCGTGCGCCGTTGCAAGAAGATCACTCAGGAGATTGATGAGACTGAACTGGACATAGGCTACTCTTTCATGACGGTGGAGGACATGGAAAATGAAGGGTACCCGCAGTTTCATGTCTACAAAAGATTTGGCGTGGTTCACCCCACCCCAAGATTGAAAACAAGTAACTGGGGGAACTACAACATCGAGCCCCCTTTTGTATTTGGGGATCTAGTTCGAGGCAAGTCAGGGTGCTCAAAATCGTTGCTTGCAAAATAGGTTTGCTAAATTCATGATTGGCTACACACCGATACCTGAGGTGGAAGATTGATGGAGTCATAGCCTATTGCGAGAATGACCCGTCTTTGCAAAGGAGCCTTTGCGTCTTGATTTGGGTTCTTGGCCCACCTCGGCTTGTGGGAAACTTATTTCGGTGTTCCTCTGAGACATAGCATCTTGCAGGACTTCGAAATACGGCGGTGGAACAATGTACTGGGTGGAGAACGCCATCACCGGACACAAAAGGCAGCCTATCAACTGATGGGCAGTGAGTTTTGACGACAAACATACCTTAGGATAAACCGATTGTTCCTTGCAGGAACATCAAGCGCAACACCCTCGAAAGAATGATGGAGTGGGAAGAGGATGGTGAAGTTCAAGACTTGGACCTTACTCTCCCCGGCCGACAGGCTTTAGGCGTGATCGCAGAACACTTGTTCACTTTGTTCACATTCGTGTCCCAGAGCTACTTTCCAGAAAGAACAGACTAAAAAACGATTTATTCCATAGGTGCGTGTAAATTTCTGCCTTTCTATCTCCACCCAACTCCTTCCTGTCCAGGCAACGCCTTTGGACATCAGGATGCTGGCAACGCTCCAGGACCTGGGCCATCGGAGGGTGAATTTGCCAAGGCCCTTCGACAGGCAGGATTCCCAGAGGTAGAGTCAAAGGCTGCCCCGCAGACGATCGTCAACAAGGTTCTTACTGGCATTCAGAAACGGGTCCTCAAAATGCAAGAGTTTCTGGATAAGTTCAAGGGCTGCCAAGACATGCCGTTGGTAGCGAAGATTCTTTTCTTCAACATATTTTTTCAGCCAATGCAATTTTCGAAAACCAATTGAAAGAGCTGACAATTAAAGCTAAAACCGCAGGACGTCCTTGGGGTCATCACTGTTGATCCTAGGATGGTGGAGAAAATCCAGGGGCTCAAGGGCAGCCTGGAAGAGCAGGGTGAGAAGCTTTCGGAGCTGCATGGGACGGGTATTATTGATGGCTTTGGTCAGGAGTTACTTGTATGATTTGAGACAGCACCATGCCGTCTGGGCCCAGCATGTTTCAAGTTTCAACCCTTGCCCTTCTAAGGCTTCAACAGTCTATGAATGATGCAATTCGTCAAGCCCGTAAAGTGCCAGGGCCCAAGATACAGTGTATAATATATATATGTGTGTATAGTCTTATATCAATTTATATGCAGTTTATAAATATATATTTATATATAATATAGATATAGATACTATATATAGATATAGTTTATGGCCAATGTGATACAACCACGTGTCCTACAAGAGATGACAACAATTAGTTCCCAACCGACGCCTGCTCACTGCTTGCGTGTGAGGGCTGGAGAAGCGCTGATGCTCGAACCTCGTGCCAGGCATCTTTGATATCAGATGCCATGCTGGTTGTTTTTCCAAGTTTGTCTGTGGTGCTCCCTGCTTCCCCCCACCTCCCTTTTTCTCAACTTTGATTTTGGAATCTGCCAAATTCAAGCATGGCAGGGCTCTTCTGAATGATGTCCAGCGCAAGCGACGTTCTGAGTTGCCCGGCAATTCTTCCAAGAGGCCGAAGCCGGGCCTCACACCTCAGGGGAAGGCAAGAGCACCAAAGGCAGCCCCGAAACAGGTTGCCAAGGCCAAAGCCAAGGCGAAGGGAGCTGCAGCTCCAAAGTAGTGTGGGAGGCAATTTAGCCTTTTTCGGATCATCAGTCAATTTGATTGATGTCAAGTCTGGGTAAATGGGGCTTGGAATGGGCGACCCTATTCCGAATAAGCCCAGCAGAAACGGCAGCAGCTTCTGTAGTTGGCGATGTTGAAAATTGACTGAGCAGTGCCATTGCCAGCTTCAAGACTGCCAACTTTGATTTGAGAAACGGTGAAAGTTACTTCTCAAGAATCCCCAGCTTTCATTTTCATTATTTTACTCGAAGTTTCTCTGTAGCAACGCACTCTGTCATGCCAGGTTACGAGCCTTCCGGAATTGACCCCGGCTTAGTGGAGCACTACGCTGAGGAGATGGGAAGGGGGGTCCGAACCCAAGGTTTAGTTCAGTTGTGGAGTTGGTGGCATCCAGAAATTCTACGAGCCAAGCCAAAACCAGTTTCATTTGACCACCAGCGGGGCCGAGGCACCAGCCGTTGCAATTGCTCGCTCAAAGCGAGCCATTGGGCAGGCATGTCCGACGTTACTTGGGAAACCGAAGGCTGACATAGACAAGAATGCAACCAGGGATGTCACAGCAATGCTGGCCAAATCAGGGATGGCCATGCGCGTCGACAGAACAAAGTTAGTTTCATGGTTTGGCTTTAGTAGCGCCAAGTTTTTTTTTCAGTAGTTGTCTGGTCCAAATTTGAAGATTTTGAGCCCGGTCCAAACATGGAAAAGCCAAGGTTTACACCACGGTGGAAGGTGACGCTATTGAGCTCCCCATTGTTTTGCCCAGTTCTTGGCTGAAAGTTCTGATTGAGGACTATCCTTACCTTCTGTCTGGCTATCCTTCCAATAGCCTTGGCAATGATTTGCACGACCAGCTTGAAGCATTCTGGACATGTTATGCATTTTATCAGCCAGGCCATGAGGCCTTCAAAAAATCAAAGCAAGAGCTGAGACGAACTCTGCCTCTGGCAGTACATGGTGATGAGGGCCGATATTTGAAGAAAGGGAATTTTATGGTGTGTACAATTGAGACATTGATCGGGAACGATGCTGAGAAAAAAACAACAAAGGCACCTTGCAGGTGTCACTCTGACCCAGTGCTGTCTAGATATGCAGATGTTGCCCATGGACACCAAGGCGATTCCTCTTTTGACCATTTCGTTGAGCTGGCATCAGGCCAACACGTCAATGATTCCGGAAACGAATTCCTTTCAAAATTTCTGCTCTTTGGAATGTCGTCTTTGGTGTACAAAAAGGACAAAGGTTTGCTTACAAAAGCATTTGAGATGGTGAGCGAGGACCTGTCCATGCTCCACAATCGTGGGCTCCAAGTCGGGGGCCAAACCTACTTCGCGTCAACATGCGCTGTGAAAGGAGATCTGAAATTCACCACCAAATAGGGAACCTGGAGAGGAGCTACTACAACACAGGGGTGAGAGAGAACCACCCAATGTGCTCTCTATGCATGGCAGGACATGATGCTGTACCTTTTGAGGATTTGACAGATTCAGCTGAGTGGATTTCTACACTCCATTCCGAAAGGCCGTGGCCCTCTGGAAACCCACCTTCCCTGAGCACTATCCCATTTCAAAACGACTGCCCTGAAACAATTTTCCGCTTGGATCTGTTCCACTGCTACAAGTGTGGACTGGGCCGAGATTTGACTGGAAGTACGCTCATACTCCTTGCGCAGCTGCAATACTTTGATTTTACTAGTGATGACGAATGCAATCTACCGGCTCGATTGGAACGAGCTTGGGGGTCCTTCAATCTGTGGTGCAGAACAACCGGCAAGTCACCTGCCATACATAGCTTTTCCAAGGCGTTGCTGAACTACAAGAATGCGCGGTCTTTTGCATGGTGCAATGTGAAAGGATCCGACAACACCTTGATCACATCCTGGTTACTTTTCTTCATAAAGCTTTCCTCTCAAAATGATTCGCGGCATGCCAGATTGGAGCAGGTGCTCATTGAGACCCTAACCTGTGCTCTCACTGTTTTCGAAATTTTGCATTCGCACCCTCTGTGGTTGCATCGAGTTTGTGCTCAGCGTGTTCAACACCATTTGACTACAGTATTACGAGGTTTCAAGGTGCTGGCTAAAATGGCCAAAGATTTGTCAGTTCCAGCGTTTGGGCTTAAGCCGAAGCTGCACGCATGTGACCATATTTCCAGAGATATCAAGAGACAACTTCAGTCCAAGGCACCAAAGGTGCTGAACCCTCTTGTTTTTAGCTGCGAAGCCAACGAGAGTGTAGTGGGACACGTCTCACGTATCTCTCGCCGTGTTTCCTCCAGAACTGTTAGCGGAAGAGTGCTGGATCGAATCTGTATCAAAACAAAACTGCTGGCCAAAAAATTCAAGGCCAAACTAAGGCACCGACACAGAAGTCAGTGATGCAGAAGGCGCAAAGCTGCTGAGAGGCAATCAAAAGGCAGCGTTGGGTTGAGCGAAATCTACAGGGTCACCAGGCACCAAGTGCCATTTCTCAATTTGACATTTTTGGAGACACCCTGGCATTTTTTTTGGAAGTTGGCATTTCTGTACCCAAAAAATGCTATTAGCATAAATTAGTGCTAAGTGATGATCCAGGTATAGATATAAATACATATGTTATGATGTTATGTGTATATGTATATATGATGCATTATTTATAATATATATATATATGATGCAGTATTTATATATATATATATATACTTTAGGTATATATATGATATAATTAAAAACTATATTGTTGCACCGTTTTGGGCAGGTTTCATGGGCATCGAAACTGTGTCGTTGATATCGTTACCATGCCATGCATTGAGCATGGCTTGATTCACTATCAGCTGTGTTTAGCACTGAGGAGGTGGGAAAGTTGTTGGCTGATAACAGCGTGCGTGGCTTGGCTTATGACGCAGGGAACCTCTAGCCATTTCCGCCAAGGCTTGCTCTTAAGGGCTTCATTTGTGTTTTTTTTCAGGTCCTCCATGGTCCTCCCAGGTTGGTCGTTGGTGTTTCCCATGAAACTTAAATATGGCGTCCCCAAATCACGGCCCGACGGCCGGCTGGGTGAGGTGTGTCAGTGGTTGGTGTGGATGTGCCTGATGAAGCGAAGGACTACAGAATTATGAGATTCTCCCATTCCCTGAAAATTTTGAAATCCATCCCCAGGAACTCTTCTTTGGTATCTATTCATTTTGGGATGTTTCATATTGGGGATATAGAACATTATAGAACTGTAAGGTGCGGCTTTTCTGGGAATGATTGAAAATAAAGTACCCCAAACTCCAGTGTGCTCTCATAATTCTACCATTAACATTGCTACATTTTAGTGGTCAATACCTCATTTTCACTCATACCCAAACGTGATAAACGGTGGGAAAACCAATAATGAGCCTACCATTTAGGGATGGTTTATACCACCCATTTATGGTGTTTTTGGGTATGGTTTACTATTGGCTTTACCACATTATTTAATTATATATCCAGTTGTATCCCCATTCTGATAAGTTTCAAGAACTGCCCTTTTCTTGTTGGTGAAATCAGAGCAGTTTCAAGAACAACCCTGGCCTGCCTTGGAAAATTTGCAGGAGTCCACCATCAAGGCTGCTGCAAGCAGCGAAGCTAAGGAGCAGGCCTGGGGCTGGGAAAATGTTGATCGGTTGCAGGTCTTCAGAAAATCCTAACGGGACTCCACCCCTTGGACATTTTAATAACGTTTAGTAAGATTAACATTTAGTAATCATTGTTTTTGAGCATTGATTCTGAGTTAAGGGCGGCCATAGGCGACCTAAAGCTCCAGTCCAGTCAGACTCCTCATAAATTGTTTGCAAATGATCTCCGGTTGTTCAAGTTGCCATCTTGTCGTCTCTGACGTGCTTCTCTGGCGTGGCTTTAGGTTGAAGAAAAGGAAATGGTGGTAGATCCTTGGTCAGTCAAGGGTCCCTCGGCCAAAAAGAGGAACATATGTTGGCATATGTTGGCAAAAATTGCACCCCATGGTGCGCACCATTTGACGTTTGAAATGCCGCATCCGCTTTGTTTACCGTAAATACCTCCCGGAGTTTTACATTAGGACCCCGAATGAACTTGAATCAATAGTAAAAAAGGATGATCTTGCAAAGGGAATTGATGAGATAAACCCCAACAACAAACCATATCCAACTGGGGTTTACTCTCAAAGCATGTAGCACATTCCAAGGGGCCGGGCTCCTTTGCAGAACCTCTGGAATCCAGGTAAGATCGACTACGAGAAGCTGATCCGAGATTTTGGTTCCACCAAGATCTCCAAAGAGCTCTTGGAACGGATGCGCAAGCTGACCGTGGGTTCAGGTGAGGTTCTTCCCACAAACCTCCCAAATTGGAGACCCCCAAAATGGAAGATGGCCGAAGATAGAACCACGTCAGCCTCTCTCATGATTTTATATGATTTTATAATATTTTATATATAGATGTTAATTTTGGATATGTTTGTTCATTTGCTGTTGCCTCCTGGCCAGCCACAGTTTGTGATTCGGACCCTTAGTCGAGGAAGGTGGCAATCTTACGATTTGACACGACTGTTCAGTAAACATCACCCACAAATTTCCAAGGCATCTTGAGAGCACCAAGTCTCTGTTTCACTGTTACATTTCAGGGATGCCAACTGAAGGTTTGTTGTTTGCCCAGTTTGTTCAGAAGATGCCGGGCGTAAATCGCAAGCGCCAGGTAGAGTATCTGATCTCCACTGCTGGTTGTGCCCTGGCTAAGCAGGTCTGATGTGAAAGTTTTTGAAGGCTTAACTTTATTTTTCCATGTGTTTCCACATTTGCATAACATATCAATGTGCTTCCAAGTGACTTTCATCCGTTTCATCGCAATTGAGTTAGACGGTCCCTAAATCCCAAACGGGGACCGGTCCGGATGGGAGCCTGTTCCCAACTTAGAAAGGGGGTTCCCTACCCAAAATATCAAAATCCAGTGGAGAGATTGTGATTATAAATGAATATCATGTGATTCCATGTTTGTTTAGTGGTTTATTATATGACTGATTATCATGTTTTTTCTCCATTATATATGTAAAATTGCTTAAAATTGGAAGGGATATATTATAATATTTGTATCGGCTGAGTAACCCTGCGATGATGCCCAGACGTCGCAACATTTTCTTCTCCCATCGAGAACTGGATGCGATTTGCGGTCTGCAGGATGGGACTTTGGCATGGGGAAGGCCAGGATCAAATTCTAAGTGAGATAGTGATTGTAGTTGTCTTGCATAGCTGGATATAGCTGGTGTATAATTGAATCTAATTTCATCATATTTCATCCTGTTGTTTTTCTGAGCCAAATGAGCTATGGCGGGTTGGGATAGGTTGGATTCCCTTCAGACATGGGTAGTAACGGACAATATGTTGGCAAACAATGGTTGGGAAGTTGATTTGCAAACAATGGATGGGAAATTCATGATAATTCACGTTTGGGTTGATCCATATCAAAATTTATGTGGCCCCATTTTCCTGTAAGGAACATCGAAATGTTCTGCATTCAATAGTTATATATAAATCAATTTAGGGGTTATAACCTATTTTTGACCGGTTACCCGAATAAGTTATTGTATATAGTTAGACCCATATAAACCCATAGGCTGTCTGATTGGGTCGTGATATCAAAACACTTCTTGGTGGCTAGTAGCCAGGTCTTTGGAAGAGTGAAACATGACAAGGTGGACGTAGGTCTTGCGTTTGCCACTCCCACAAGTCCACATTTGAGAATACCTCACAATCTTTCGGGAATATGGTGGAGTTAATATAAACTGAAAATTAAAGACCCAAATTTGGGGTTGAACATTGGATTCTGCTAGATGTGGAGGACGCCATGCCATGTCACCCCCCATGTTTGATGGTCCCCCGCGACACCAAAACCTCGACAGTGCACTGATCTCACAAACCTGGCACCGCAGATCTTGCCTTTAAACTGACAGGAGAAAGGTAAACCTTTCTACCTCTACACCGGGCGGGGTCCAAGTTCTGCGGCGCCTTGGTTTTTCGCATCACAAGAGAGCAATGAGGAATGACCTGTAGGCAATGAGGGTACTTGACGTCATTAATGGTATCCCATTAATGGGAATAATGGGATATGAATCCCTACCATTAATGGATATAAATGGGATATATCACCCTGAACCCCGCAAAACAAAACAATAAATTGTGCACTGTTTGCCTTTTGGGTTGTTTTCATAAGAACACGCCAAGGCAGAAATCCCGATTTGCGCCTTTTTGACGGTTTTTGCGCCTGTTGCGCCTTTGTTGCGATACAATTTGTTCCCCAAAAATGCAGGTTATAACCCAACTATTTCTGCCCCGATGCGTTAACATCTAGTTTGCAAAATTGTTCATTGATACCTGTTGATAGCTTTAGGGAGCATGGGTTTACTGAGTTTTCCTCACATGATCCCGTTTGCCAAAAGTTTTGCATCTAGTTACGGCCATTGCATCATGCCAAGTATCTGGCACGGAGACCCCTTGGCGTAAAAAATGCGTTTTGGGTCGTTTTGCCCTTTTGTGTCGTTTTGTGCAAAAAAAGGTGGTTTTGAGCAAAAGATTGTCACTGACCAAAAAGGTCCAAAAAAAGTGGATTTCGGGTGTCCAGGACTACTATTATTCGTTCAATTCATGTGTGATTTCGCTCTGCAAGACCATGCAAGACCATTCAGCGATTCCATTTCTTGGAGTGGAATGGGTTCAAGCTCAAGGATGCGTGTCCCGGCTTGTCCGCTGTGCAGGCAATGCACTTGGGTCACTTGCTGCCCTTCATGTTCACACAGTTCCTCGTTGGAGCTTTGAGGTTGGGAAAAATCTGTTTCATTCCTTGGGGTCAACGATTTTGATGGAGTCAACCTGAGATCCATGGGCAGTGGCATTGCGGGGGCTAGCTGACATTTGAAGTAACTACCTCACTTCATACCAAACAACAAAATTCAGTTTTGGCGTGCAGCATTGCGAAGCCTTGTGCGATCTTGTGCGCCATAGAGCTCTAGGAAGTTTGAGTGAGACTCCGGTATACGGTATGAGATTGGAGTCCTCCGGCACGCGGAGACGCTGCCAAGGTGGCTGCAAAAGGCCTTTAACGTGCCCTTGGTCATTCAGATGACCGATGACGAAAAGTTCTTGTGGAAGGCGCAGTAGCTGCTGTCAATTGGGCAATAGCTGGGTGGTCCATGAAACGTGATTCGTGTGGAATGCCCGAAGTGACATTTGCGGAACGTTGACGCCAGGGGGAGTATGACCCTGAAAAGGGCGACAACCTGCAACTTGGCGAAGTTGTGTTTTCTTGTCATCTCTGGCCTTGCACCTTTGGCACGCAATAAAGACATATTCAGACCCCAAAAAGGCTTTCAAAAAGCATTGAAATTCACACAATCTCATGAACAAGTCCAAAGATGCACGGTAATCATACAATTCAGTAAAACGAATGGATCAGTTTGAGAAATGTATTGGCTGCCTCCTCATTGAGCATTACCAGATCACTTTAAATGATTTTCGCAGTGTAAAACGAAGCATGTCGCCCGGCTGAGCCAGGCATGTATACCAACGATACACCATTGAGAACGCAAAAGATATCATCGCCTGCGGCTTTGATAAAAGCAAAACCTTCATTTTCTCCGACTGTGACTATGTCCCTTGGCACATCCCATCACATCCCATTTTTTGGTGTCTATAAAAGATCATCCCCAAAAAAAAAGTATCCAAATCTGTAATTTTGTTCAACTTGAGGATTTCAAACTTCAACGGATGGTGACATCGTGGGCTAGTAACAGGTCTCATGGCACCGCATCGAAGCTCAGGTGGGGCACATGTATCCGAACATCGTTCGAGTTTGGAAGGCGATCACCTACAACACCGCCAAAGGGGCGCCTTGGTGTTCTTAGTGTTCTGCAGGGCTTCAGGATGTTGGATGTGGTTCTCTTGGTGCGATCGCATAAAGGGAAGGGACTTCTAAAAGATGTTTGGCTGTGATCGGGAGACTGCATGCGTGGCTTGACTTTTTGCGCGATTTTCGTTGCCAGATCAAATCATGGGATGGGGGTAGCTTCCATGGGGGGGATACCACCAATATCTTAGGACATGGCCACCATATATCATCATAATATCATCATAATATCATCATCATATCATTGATATATCATTGATATATCATTGACATATCCCGATTAAATTATAGCTCCATTCTATCACCACCATAATACCACCATATCCAAATGTTGATCCCATTGGATGAACTTGAAGGTCCCGGCCAGCTTGGAACGTCCCCATCACTTGTCTCCTAAGGCCTTCGGCTTTCAGGGCGAGTCCAACATCGGCCAGTCCGCATTTCCTGCGATCCAGGTAGGGTCTCCAGCGGAGCAGCTACGACTTGATTTTCCCGACCATATATTTAACAGCGCTATGGAAGATTGTGGAATGTCATTAATTATATGGAAAAGTAGGAAATATTGCGGACTTTTATGGCATATTGGAAATTTATAAATGGCTCGCCTTTAGCCCTTTGGCTAAACTCTCGGAGACGATGAGAGAGAGAGAGAGATGGATGCTCTAGCTATTTACATGGTTAACACGACATAGCAAAGTGTTAAGTTCGCTGAGGCTAAAACCTGGTGGGAAAGAATCCCAATGTGGAACATCATCTATGACTGGATAGTTATGGGGCAAAATGGATGGTCTAAAGTTCAAAGGTTAAAAAATAACAAACTTGGTGGGTCCAGTGCTGCCTGAGTTTCTAGCCGTGCCTGGAGTCGATTTTGCTAGGGATAGTTCCATGCTGTTTATGACTTGATGCACGGTCCCCATGGTGTCTTCCAATGTCAATTGAAGCTGCCCGGATTTCGTTTGGGGAGATGAACCATATGATCCCAACGTATCCATGATCCCGTGGCAGGCCGTACCCTCATTTCCTTCATCTTTTAGCGTTCCATTCAAGGGCGATCAGCATCTGCCGTGCTTGCATCCTGGCGTCCGAAGGGACCTTGAAGGATTGTTGAAGGCTGTGGATTTTTCGGAACCTCATCCAGGCGATGGAAAGTCCTTCGCTGCCCATGTGCTGAAAGAACACCAGAGAGCTGGCCGTTGCTGTGAAACTGAGGATTCCTTGCGCCATTGATCAGGATCCCTACTTTCGGGCGCCGCGGCTTTTCAGTAGTTTACCAACTCCCGAGTTGGTCGTGAAGCACGCAGGTGGTTACCACCACTGGGGCTATAAGTTCAAGATGATCCAAGCATAGATCCAGGGAGAAGGATTTCCACGGGTTTCTAATGTCCTCATTTGCATATCACAGTTATACTCATATTTATTCACTAATAGGGGAACAATTTGTCAGAAAATGTTGCAATCTCTCATCTCTGAAAGGTGACCAGGGATATCGCGCACAAGCTGGTTCCGTAGCGTGGCAAGCACGGCATATGGCATAGGGATTGATTAAGGTAAGAATTTTGAGAATGGCGGTGATCGAGATGGTGAGGATGATGAATGAGTAAACAGCATGAGCAAAGCATGGCTAGCTGTCTGCCGATGTCAGGAAGGATCATCCTTTGAAAGGAAAGCCATCCTTGATCCACTGCAACTTGGTGCAATTGGGTTCTGTGGTACGCTAGATTTGGAGAAACATCACCATTCACTGGGGATATTTTGGTCGAGAGATCATGATAGTCCCTTGTGCCAGCAGCTTGTGGATGCCATTGAACTCGAAGTTAGTTGAGGAAACACTTTTTTCCCCATCGGTGTGTTCTTTGGACGGCAATTTCTTTTGAGCTTTTCCTTTTTTGATAAAGTTTAGATTTTGTTTGGATTCCTGCTTTTCTGCTGTTCCTGCTTCTCTGCTTCTCTGTGTTTGCTTTTCTGCTTTACGTTTTTTTTGGCTTTTCCTGCTTTCCGTATTACGTTTCCTGCTTTTCTGCTTCTCTGCTTTTCTTGCTTCTTTTTTCTGCTTCATTCTGCTTCTCTGCTTTTCCGCTTTTTGCTTTTCCTGCTTCTCTGTCTTTTTATTTTTCCATGCGTTTTTTTGCTGTTTTGCTTCTTCCTGCTCGTTTGCTTCTCTGATTCCTTTCTTTATTGTCTCTTTGCTTTTTCTTTTTCTTTTGTCTTATTCTCTCCTGTTTGTATCCTTAATGAAACCCTAGAGAAACCCTAGAACCCCTAAATGAAACCCTAAAGATAAATTACACCCTAAACAAATCCTAAAGAGACCCTAAATGAAACCCTGAAGAAATCCTAAATGAAACCCTAAAGAAACCCTAAATGAAGAAACCCTAAATGAAACCCCAAATGAAACCCTAAAGAAACCCTAAATGAAACCCTAAAGAAACCCTAAATGAAAACCTAAAGAAACCCTAGGATACCCAACATGACACCCTGAAATACCCTGAAGAAACCCACATGAACGTTTGAAGACCAACATGTAGCAACAGCCATGCAAAATGAGAGGTCATGAAACGTTTGAAGTACCAACATGCACTAGATACCATACAACATGAGAGCCTGAAGTGACAAAGATGCAGCAAATTCCGTGCGAAATGGAAGCAAATAACATGCAACATGACAGGTTCTAGTTCCAAATTGTTGCAAATACAAGGCAAGTACCAGGAAAGAAATCAAAAAATAGAAACCTTATTCAGAAATAAAAACTATTCCTCACCCATTTGGATTTTCCGAGCAGCCAATTCTGGAACCATTTGAACATTTGAGATGCCAAGCTGGGACTAAAGCGAATTGAGGTAAGTTCTTTCCTCCCTTGACGGGGGCTGAAGGGAAGATGGCAGCATCTGATGAAAATTCAGCGACTCGTCACAACGAGCTCGCCACAGTGCAGAGCTAGTGGGTTTGTGCATCTATTCCTCCGGCCCAAGTCGTATTAATTTTTGGTAAAGTATGATATAAAGTTCATGAATGTTTGCACCCATTGATTCTCCAGTAGTAAGAATCCAAGTCTATTCATGTTGGGTCTCAAACTGATTCACCTGACTGTCAAGTTCAACCACCAGGGGCCCAACCGAAAAGTGTGAGAAACGGCCACAGCCAGCGTCGAATGCCGCAGCCTAGGCCATTTTCCTCACCGACACCCCCGAGGATATCGAAAAAAAGATCAACAACTACGCCTTTTCAGGCCCAGAACAAATATCCATGGTTCCATATTAAAACTTTGCAAACCAGATCAAACCAGAAGTTTCTCCCTCTTCTGCTGCTTTACTTAAAGACATGTTTATGTGGTTCAGGTGATCCATGAAACGGATCATATTTTCACATTTCTTGGCTTCACTGGGGTCCGGTCCGACCAAACCAGGTTTGGATCATTCTGGATCCATTGCGAAAAACTGAAGAAATAGAAGTTTGGGATAGTTTGGGATATTTTAAGTGTAGCTGTATAGCTTTGGCCTTGAAGAATTGCCCAGATTCCATCAGACATTGCAGCTCCTTCTTGCTCGTTCCGTGCCAACCAGTGCCACACATGGCCTATTCGGGATCCTCCGCGCCGGGTGCGCCCATGGAGTTTGGTTATTGGAAGATCAGGGGGTTGGGTGCAGAGCCTTGGCGGCAGATGTTGGGAGCAGGTTGGACCAGCTGGTGAGTTTTGGATGGGGATGTGGTTCAACATCCATGAGTCGTGGCGCCTATGAGCCTCCAGATGCCTCCAGAATGGGAAACACCGGAAACACCCCAACAGCAATGTTGAGATACGTTGCATCCTTTCCCTTTCTCTTGAGTCCTTCTTCCAGCCTACGTACTTGTAATGCGATGCTTGCCTCCTAGTCTACGCCTCTCAGGGGATCTGGGGGCCCTAAGAGATTATATATATATATATAAATATATATACATATAAGTATGTTAGCGAAATTACTGGCGGGATTTACCTGATGAAAGAAACCAGAGGTTTTAAGTTTTCAGACAAGACCGACAAGTTGCAATGGATTGATTCCGTCTACATTTGGCGGTTGATGGCAGATATCCCTCTTGAATCTAATGGTTCAGGCAACCAATCAGCTTGGGTGTTTTTTTCAGACCATTAGGACGGAAATGATTCAAAGTGAACCCTGAACAATCACAAAAACGCTCAGACTCAAGGCTCATTAGTATTGAAACATATTGAAACTGTTGCAGGTCTTCCGCATGATTCTGGAGTACAAAGAGGCCAAGTACGTCGACAAGCAGTACGCCAACGGTGACTCATTTGCAGTACCAGATCTAGCGACATGACTCGAAGTCTCTTTGAGACGAGGTTCGTGGGCCTCTCATGGCATCTCATAGTCGTCAACAGGAGACTCTCTGAATTTGCAAAGAGTATTAGTCAGAGAGGTATCATGAGCGCGTTGCTTGTGGCGCAAATATCAGAAATATGCATGCAAATTTATGCAGATGCTTTCCATTTGTCGTTCAGGTGAGGAATGGTTCAAGGATCGAAAGCCAGCCATTTTGGCCCTGAACCCTTTGGCAAACCTGCCATACCTCGTGGATGGCGACACGTGCGTTTGCCAGACGTTCCTCGGATCAGATTGGCTAAACGGAAGTGAGATCTTGCAGGTGTTAAGGCATGTCAAGGGTGTGGCGCTCTTTGGGGTTCTATGGTGTTTGTTTATTGTACTTTTAGGATTTTGTTCTAATGGTTGGTTCTCTTACTTTTCTGTTGCAGGCAGGTTGAAGAACCCACAGCCTCTCAAAAACCGATCCCATAATCATCATAGTCAAAGGACCAGGCCAAGACTCACGTCTTCACTTCTGGAGCTTCAGAGTTGGCCAAGCACTAAAGCACTAAACTGTCGGCAAGATACGCAGTGTATCGCAGTGTGTGTGTGTTTGTTTTTGTCAATCCACGGCTGGCTGTCAGTGTAGCAGATTTGTCATTTTCATGTTATGTTTTCATCAGGAATTCAATGAACTGGTTTAAGGGAAAGTCTCTGGTTGACACATGTTGAAAACATGTTGTTTTAAAGTCAGGAGAGGGTTTGCCAACTTTCAAACATATGTAATATATGTGTGCACAGCCCCGCGCAACAGTCCAGCATTTTAGCCAAAATCACATGTTCACAATCCACAACCTCATTCATTATCGATCATTTCAACCAAATCATTTCACAGCAGTCGAAACACACATTTTCACCAAAAAACATGTTGATGCACCCAAGAATCTCTATGCCATGAACGACTTCTGAGAGGGCAGACCGCACCAAATCTTTCCCCACCCCAAGAGGTTGCAACCTTGGTGATGCAGCAAAAAATGAGTTCTCCAAAGAAATCAAAACATTATTTTCAAGATGGTTGGGATATGTGGGCTTGGCAAAGGATTGGCAAACCCTGTCTCATAGGATTTATATTTTTGCATATGATGCATGCTCATGTTGCATACTGCATATTGCATACTTATATATTTATACAAGGGTCATTGTTTGTTCCGTTGCCGCTTTTTCTTTTTTTTGTGATGCTTTATGTTGTGATTTCTATTCAGTTTGATTTTCACAATTGCAGATTAAACAAAAAGTTGTTTCTTGCAATTTGCAATGTTATTTGTTTGTGTCCCTTGATCCTTCTACATTGTTATTCTACATTGTGTTTGTTCATGTTTTTTTTCTGTATTCTCTTTTGACTCCAAGGTGGTGTTCTTTCTTCCTTTGATACTTTGATACTGTTGTTTTCTTTTATCTCTCCACTTGTTGCATGTTGCAAAGTGTTCTTCAAAAGCATTTTTTGTTTTGTTTATGTGGCATGAATTGTTGTTTATCCATAGTATCTGCACAAATTATAGCGAGGACAGCCGAGGCAACGAGGCAGGTTGCAGGAATTAGCGAGGTCAGCCCTTAATTTGCTCATCAGAATTAGCCGACCTCGACGAGGTAGCCTTGCATTGGTTCTGTTGCATGCTTGGGCTTGGCTAGAAAAACTTTTTTGGGGGCCAGAGGCCGGTCAGCAGGCAAGGAAGGAAAAAAAAACTTTTCAGGCCCCAAAAAGTTTTATTTTCTATCGCCAGAGGCCGGTCAGCAGGCAAGGAAGGAAAAAACACTTTTCAGGCCCCAAAAAGTTTTATTTTCTATCGCCAGAGGCCGGTCAGCAGGCAAGGAAGGAAAAAAACTTTTCAGGCCCCAAAAAGTTTTATTTTCTATCGCCAGAGGCCGGTCAGCAGGCAAGGAAGGAAAAAAAAACTTTTCAGGTCCCAAACAGTTTTATTTTCTATCGCCAGAGGCCGGTCAGCAGGCAAGGAAGGAAAAAAACTTTTCAGGCCCCAAAAAGTTTTATTTTCTATCGCCAGAGGCCGGTCAGCAGGCAAGGAAGGAAAAAACTTTTCAGGCCCCAAAAAGTTTTATTTTCTATCGCCAGAGGCCGGTCAGCAGGCAAGGAAGGAAAAAAACGTTTCAGGCCCCAACAAGTTTTATTTTCTATCGCCAGAGGCCGGTCAGCAGGCAAGGAAGGAAAAAAAACTTTTCAGGCCCCAAAAAGTTTTATTTTCTATCGCCAGAGGCCGGTCAGCAGGCAAGGAAGGAAAAAAAACTTTTCAGGCCCCAAAAAGTTTTATTTTCTATCGCCAGAGGCCGGTCAGCAGGCAAGGAAGGAAAAAACAACTTTTCAGGCCCCAAAAAGTTTTATTTTCTATCGCTAGAGGCCGGTCAGCAGGCAAGGAAGAAAAAAAAACTTTTCAGGCCCCAAAAAGTTTTATTTTCTATCGCCAGAGGCCGGTCAGCAGGCAAGGAAGGAAAAAAAACTTTTCAGGCCCCAAAAAGTTTTATTTTCTATCGCCAGAGGCCGGTCAGCAGGCAAGGAAGGAAAAACAAACTTTTCAGGCCCCAAAAAGTTTTATTTTCTATCGCCAGAGGCCGGTCAGCAGGCAAGGAAGGAAAAAAAACTTTTCAGGCCCCAAAAAGTTTTATTTTCTATCGCCAGAGGCCGGTCAGCAGGCAAGGAAGGAAAAACAACTTTTCAGGCCCCAAAAAGTTTTATTTTCTATCGCCAGAGGCCGGTCAGCAGGCAAGGAAGGAAAAAAAAACTTTTCAGGCCCCAAAAAGTTTTATTTTCTATCGCCAGAGGCCGGTCAGCAGGCAAGGAAGGAAAAAAAACTTTTCAGGCCCCAAAAAGTTTTATTTTCTATGTCTAGAGGGCGGTCAGCAGGCAAGGAAGGAAAAAACACTTTTCAGGCCCCAAAAAGTTTTTTTCTATCGCCAGAGGCCGGTCAGCAGGCAAGGAAGGAAAAACAACTTTTCAGGCCCCAAAAAGTCTTATTTTCTATCGCCAGAGGCCGGTCAGCAGGCAAGGAAGGAAAAACAACTTTTCAGGCCCCAAAAAGTTTTTTTTTCTATCGCCAGAGGCCGGTCAGCAGGCAAGGAAGGAAAAACAACTTTTCAGGCCCCAAAAAGTTTTATTTTCTATCGCCAGAGGCCCGCTTCGTGGGTTGACGGCTGCAGAAGCAGTAGGATTCAGAGTTGCTCCAGAAGAGCATTGCATCTCTGCGATAATGTCAGAGATGTCACCACCCAAGCGCAAGAAGCGCAAAGACCGATCAGACTCAGATTTAAAAATCCCTGCAAGAGACCGTGGATCGTGGAAAAAACTTTTCGGAAGCTGATTTTTTTTTCCTTGGGGTTGGACCCTGGAAAGAAGGCCCACAAGCTACTTTCTTCCTTCGAATTAACGAGGTAAAGCCTTAATTTGCACCTGCAAATTAACGAACGAGGACAGTAATCATGGGGAACAAATTAAGACACGAGGGAGACGAGGTAAGAATTAAAGTAATTTGGCCAGATAGTATGCTTATGTCACGCGTAGATATGTTTCCTTTGTAATATAGTCTTCTTGAAGATCCATGTCAACAATTTTCTCATCAATTGCTAAAATCTGTTGGTTGGTTGAAACGATGGAGATTGAATAAGGTTGTGGCTTATGATCATGTGATTTTGGGCTAAAAGTGATGAAATGTTCTGGGAGGGTTGGTAGACATAGTAGAGTATGGCAACCGGCAACCCCTGTCCCAACTTTTAACCCCGAATATGTCGGGGTTCGAATCCCAAAATTTTCGAGTGATTTCTGGGAGGAATGCCATCATGAGCTATTTGGGCGACAAGTTTGACATGAACGGCACCACCGAAGCGCAAAAGATTCGAACACAGGAGGGATACCACCGGACACCAGCGGACAGCTCAGACAGATCTTTTGTTTGTATTGTTTTTGTTTTTTGTGGGTGAGGGGTGTTGCTACGGTATGGTATATATATATATATATAAGTTATTTTGTTTTCGGTTTAAGTATGAATATTAATTACATGTTAATTATATATGTATATTTTTTGGGGAAATTATCCCGGTCAGTAGGCAGTTAGACCAATAACTCTTGTTGTAGTTGGCTTCAAGTTGCCCCTGAGACACCCAACCTGGCAAAATGCCAAACCCAGCTGAGCTTATTGCAGGAGTTGTTGTGTGAGATCTATGACGTGCGAAACAGCACCTCAATTGCAGCATGTAGCCTATATTATATATATAATATGTTGAGGTATTTGTATCAATGAAAATGGGTATGTATATATATATACACAGATGGTGATGGTTCACCCCCCCAACCCTACATTAGAGATGGAACATGAAGTACAGTATCTCAGGCCTCCGGCCTCCTTCGGACCTGATCAACCTATCATTTGGGGATAGCTGACCTAGCCATAAAAATGGTGAATTTGGGGATTGCGGCTTAGCATATGAGTTCTTGAATGATCACTTCAACCAAGAAGATGGCAATAGAAAGTGAAAAACATTGTTTCCAAATCCTTTATGAATAACCATCCAGAGAGCCTGGTTCAGTATCAGTTTTTTTCATTTTGGGTGCCCATCCTGCAAGTTTTGTCTCAATACTATTCTGAATATAACTATACTATACTTTGCTATGCTATACTATGCTATACTAGGCCGACAACCGTTTTAACCATGTGACGTGATAGGAGGTTTGGGTACCAACAATCCATGACGGCCGAGCAGCTGAGGCATGATCGATTTGGTCTACCCTTTCAAGCGCCTTGTTCAAGACTGGCCAGTCACTAGCGAGTTGTGCTGTTGTTCATAGTGATTTAACCATCAAACATGGTGATTTAAGCGTGAAACATGTTTAAACATATGCAAACCATCCAATTCAGAACGCACAAACAACCCAAGATGAACAGACCCCCCGCCTGTCTGGTTGAAGTTGGGTTGGATGTTTAGTGATTTACCTTCTCATACCTCCTTATACCTCCTCGCGAGGTTGAAATCACATTATACAGTGGTATGTAGCAGTATGATTGGGAGATCCCACCGGTCCATGTCTCAGGTTCCACATGCTAAATATCTTTAAGGATGGTTTCAATATGTTTCAACTAATTCCTTCGCCAGGAATGTGACGCGAACCAAAGAGGAGTTCGACACCAACGCCAAAGCAAAAGCCTGGGGACCCGGGAAGCGGACCTAGATCTTCGTGCAGTCAGTAATTTCAGTCTGAATGCAGTCAGGAAATCTGCCCGAATCTGAGGATTCCGCCTAAGGCTCCAAATTCCGCTCGAACCCACCAAAAATGTCTTTGCGTTCTCAAAAAAAATCGCTACGGCCATTTACGCCTGAATCACGTGTGTTTGCGCCCGAATCACGCTCAATTCCGCCCGAATTCAATTTTCCCGAAAAATGCAACATTTCAATGTTTCCGGTTGTTGAAATTGAATTCCGCCCGCAGTCAGATTTTCTGTCCGACAGCCCCTTCCGGCATATAATGTTGAAAAGGCAGAACTTAATGTCCGCAAGAAGATCCAGGGATGGGTTGTTGAGCAACTGGCTGCCTTTTTGGGGACCAAACATTGGGACCGAATGGGGATACAATGATATAACCGATGATCATGTTTTGGGCATTTCATAAAATGTCGTGAGACCCAAAAAAACAGAAGAATCGGTGTACTTGGGGAAGACGATTTTAGCTAGCTGAACCATTGGCAATCAGCTTCCGCCAGCTCCAGGTTGGCAAACCACCCTTTGCGAAGTTTGAAAATCTACTAGCTTTCAAGGCAGGAGCTGGCAGCACCAGTTTTCGGACAAGTACAGTACGTGGTCATGCTAGTTGAGTTAAGATCAGATGAGTTGTTTCATTTTTGTCTCCTTGGACCACTTCTCAACATTTAAGTTAAAGCGCTTCAGGCTACCAGTAGGGATGAGGTAGTTGATTCCACGATATCAAGACCCTCGGGTAATTTAACATCCAAAACTACGCAGCTGCAGATGATTTACCATGTCTATCTGACTATCTGCCAGATGGGGATCGTAGCCAGGACAACCTCAGTGGTGGCAAGTGGTTTGTCCTACAAGATGGCCCTGGTGTGGCTGACTTCCACATTTGGGAGATGTGACCTGGCCATGCCTAGAGCCTAGAGCCTAGAGCCTACATGCCGCAGTACCGCCATGCCTAGAACATCCCAGACGCATGGATGAATGGATAAATTTTGCATAATTTGTCCATATAGTTTTCTGCTTGGAAATGATTTGAGGTCAAAGCACTTTACAACTGGGCACACTCGAGTTGTTTCAACATGTGTCAACCATATTTTACATTTATTTTACAGGCGGATCCAACAAAATGACTCGTGCCATCTCGTGTCCCATTTTTAAGGTTCCAGGGGTATTGATTGATAAAGTTGAAGAACAAAGAACTCATCATGTTGCGGCCACCGCTCCAAGGTTAGACCAACACAAGATGCTGTCCGAGCGTATAGGCGGACCAGACATCTTCGCCGAGTTCCCCAAGTGCAAGGCCGGCGGTTTGTTGGGACTGGGACCCTTGGGACCCCCCCTGACCCCCCCTGGGACACCTGAGGGGTGGATACGAAGCTCAAAACGAGTCACAAAATGCAGGGTAACTGAGGTTTCCATTAATTTGCCATATTAAGTCACAGATTCACACACCCTTTCATGATCTTTCATGTCGATTGTCAGCCATTGTAGATATATTCAGGGGCCTCGCCTCGCCCGATATCGGCAAGATATATAATCTCACAAAATATCTTCAATTTACTGAAACTTCATGAACATAAGCTGACCTTCTATTCCTGCACGCGGGCAGTCTTTCCACAACCTGTGGAGGCGGAGTCCTGTGTTTTGTTTTTCTTGCATGTGTGTGTGTGTTTATGCTTAGCATGTCTTTCAAAGCAGGTGAACATAGCCTTGCCAAAGCAAGAAACAATGCGCTACAGAACTGCAACCATTTGATTGCATCACTTTTGGATCAGAGGGTTCTGGACTCTTGGCGACTTAAGTTGTTCGCATTTTACTTTTTTGGCCGACAGCAAACCCAAATTGTGATGAATAATTGCAAATCATTACAATGTAAAACAAAAAAAACATTGGGAACACTCCAACTAGTTTGCCTGAGGCAAAACCCCTTTGGTGACAAGAGCTGCATTCTTTGGGGACCAATAACAATCTTCCATCGTCCATGGTCCATCACGACGGGTTGAAACAGGCCTTCTATGATGCCTTCAAGGCCTTGCCAACGCTGAAGAACTACTTTGCCAGCGAGGCCTACAAATTTGATGTGTGCCTTTGGCGGTGGTGCCAGTTATTGGCAGTTTATAGAGGCTTTTATTGTTCATGTCATGAAATGTCGTTAAACCAAAAAAATAATCCAGTTGTCAAAACAAATCTGGATGTTGTTATCCGTTATCCTTTTGTCGTGTGAAGAATTGACTAAATTACTCATGTGAAGAATTGCGCATTGGCACATTGTAATAGAGAGAGAGAGAGAAAGAAAGAATCCCTTTCACTGTTTGCTTTGCAGATGCTTTGTTTATCTTTGATTCTATTGTTTTTCCCCTCGTAAAGAAAACATGTTCGAACTAGGTCAAGCAGTGGATTATTGTGACATGATCGGCACGCATTGGTCACTTGTTGGAGCATTGGTTAATTCCTGGTGGTCACCTTGCTGTCAAATTGGCTGAACAATCACCATACCCAGGAGGCACTTAACATGTGTTTGTCCATATATATATATATATTGTATGCTGTTTTTCCCGCAACACCATGTTATTTTCCTGCAAGGTAATAGGTTCTGCCACACAGATGATGGTGAAAAGAGCAAACATGGCAGATCTAGGGCAAATCGAAACCAACAAACGGTTCTGCTTGGCCAACCGCCAACTGCAAATGCTTGCACAGTCGTGGAGCAAGCAAACGCAATTGTATGACGCCATCAACAATCAACAAAAAGGTGATTGGTAACAAAGGGAGGGATACGATCAGCCGGCATTAGTATAGAAGATAATAAACACCACGGCGTAGTTTAGCAGGCATGCATGCACATGCAAGTATGCATTATGTAAATAAATAAGTAAACATACAATAATAATTAATAATATTAATAGTATTAATAATAATGATGATAATAATACATATGCGACCGAAAAATGCGTGGCATGTCGGGAGTTTTTGGGCAGGGTGTCAGTGTGTGAACCCAATAGTCAAAGGAAATTGGGAAGCAATCTTCCGAGTTACGAATGACCGGAATAGCAATAACAATACATCACAGAAAAATACATCACAGAACAATACATCACAAAACAATACATCATTCAACAACGCATCACATAACAATACATCACATACCAATACATGACATAACAATACATCACACAACAATACATGACACAACAATACATCTCATAACAATGCAAAACATAACAATACATCACATAACAATACATCACATAACAATACATGACATAACAATAAGTCGCAGTGTAATGGCTGACAGGATTCGTGTTGGGGAGGCTCGGAGGAAATACTATTGTGTTTTGCAGCTAGACATCGTCAATCGCCGCGGCCTGCATGCGCAAGACTATTGTCCCTATTGTCTTTTGTAGTGCAAAGTTGTACTGGAAGGTACTCCGTGCAAGCTTTGTAGTACAGTAGACAGGGAAGTACTGTGTGCAAACTTTTGTAGTACAAAGTAGTAATGGGACGTGCTTTCTGCAAGCTTTGTATCACAAAGTAGTACATGGAAGTACTTTGTGCAAGCTTTGCTGTACAGAGTAGTACTGGGACGTGCTTCGCGCAAGCTTTGTAGTACTAAATAGTGCTGGGACGTGCTTTCTGCAAGCTTTGTAGTACAAAGCGCAGACATTGTAGTAGAAAGTAGTACTGGGAGTACTTTGTGCAGGGTTTGTAGCGCAAAGTAGAACTGGGAAGTGCTTTGTGCAAGCTTTTTAGTACAAAGTATTTTGTAAAGGGTGGTTCTGTAAATGTATTTGTGTCTGAAGCTTTTGTGCGCAAAAACTTTCTGCGGTTAACGGCTTTTGTGTGCAAGAGATTTCTCTCTCACAGTAAAGGCTTTCTGAAGTGCAGAAGAGCTGAGATGAGTTGAGAAGAACTTCCGTGAGATGAGAAAGGTTGAGCAGTGCTCGGATGAAATGAAAATTGTTAAGAAGAACTTACTTAGATGACATGTGAGAAGAGATGGTATGAGATGAGAGGAGCTGAGATGAGGTGAGAAGAGCTCACATGATTTGAAATGACATGAAGTGTGGCGTGTGAAGTGCAGGTGTGAAGTGTGAAGTGCGGGGTGTGAAGAGTGCAGTGTGAAGTGTGAAGAAAGTGCTCGCTTGGCGTTGCATTGCGCCGGGGTCGCGCGCAGGTCATGTCCTTGGACAACAACAGCGCAACAGGTTCGCACAAAGCACGCACGCACGGGCCTGGCTGGCGCACGGCGCATGCATGTTCTATAGGTGAGAAAGCTCTTATATAATAGTATAACCTTAAGGCAACTTCCACCCCGCCTCGTGCGGGTGCTACTGGTAATTTGCAATCTTCCATGTCAGGCATGTGTTCAAACCAAACACCGGGCAGGCTCTTCTATTAATAGTGCGGGCGTGCACCACTGTGCAGGATTTCATGGCTCATACATCTTTTACCCAAGTTGATCAACTACACCTGCACCCAGATACGTAGAACATGCTTTTTTATTTGGGACATTTGATTTCTTTGGTAAGATTTGAGATGTGGAGCTCCTCAGCCGCACCCTACCCCATGCAGTGTGAAAACGCGTTAAATTTCTCTAGAATTTGCCGCATGACAGGGAAGAAATCACATATATATATATATATATATATGTGTGTGTGTGTGAAAAAAACAACATGAAACAAGTGATGGCTGGGCCCAATTTCACCATATTTAACCATATTCCACCCACGTTTGATGGTGGTCCAATGCTTTTCTTATTGTTTTTTTGCTTGAAATGCTTGGTCCTTTTTTTTGATGTCACAGCTTTCAGCTCCATGGGAATTACCAGCCCTCAGGAACAACAAGATTGCGAATACCTACTTTGCTTGAGCTGTCGCTATATGCTGTCGCAATTTGCTATCGTTGCATCGCCGACGCCACGAGGGCCGGCGACTTATTCTTGTAGCTGGGCTCTTTGGTTCAGGATGTGTTTTCCAGCGTGGAATTTTGCGCACTAAACCCGGCAGCCGCTGCACTGCGATGAGAAAAGGTTGCGTCTACCGTGTTGGACCCTGCAGTGTTTTGGAAGAGAAATGAAGGACAGCACCTAGATATATATATATATATATATATCGACCTCACTGCGACATCACTAGAATATTTTTTTTTAGCATATATGTTAGTATACAGTGTTTATCATGTCCGAAAAGGACCTTATTTATTAGTTGTTGAATTCATATCATCGATCCGGAATGGTTGAAAAAGGCATCAGGAAAAGCGTCATGGCTTCCAGAGGCGGCCGGCAGACGGCCAAAGAGCAGAGGGAAAAGGGAGCAGATTTGGTGTCCTGGTCGCAGGGTGGGGCAGGGGATGGTGATCATAGGTAAAGAAACAACGCGACCTCACAACGAGGTAAGCATAACTGCCGGTAGGCAAGGGAAGAATCTCCCAAGATTGGCCTCAAATTTTGATTTGGTATGGGAATGAATTATTGTAATAGTTCAGAATCACATTTTCACACCCATCATTTTGCAAAGCACTTGCTGTGGCACCCGTGACTCCTGGCTAAAATTTTGATTACCCACCCTCTTCTCCTCCTCTCCACCTCGTCCTCAACCGACCTCCAGATCTCAGTGGGCACTGCTGGACCTCAACCGCGAGCGCCAGATGCCAGATAGAATGTCAGAATAGATGGCAGAATGAATGCCCTAAAATCATGCCAGGTAATATGCCAGAATAGATGCTAGAAAAAGTTGTCAGAATAGATGCCAGATAGAATGCCAGAAAAAATGTCAGAATATATACCAGACAGCATGTCAGAATGATTACTGTAGATGGCAGAAGAAAAAATGTCTGATAAGATGCCATGGCATATGCCGGAAAACATGTCATATAGAATCTCAGTATATATTTATAATATAATTATAATAAAATATAATATATTATAATATGATATAATATAATATATTATAATATGATATAATATAATATAATATATTATAATATGATATAACATAATATAATATAATATAATATAATATTATAATATGATATAATATAATATAATACAATATAATATAATATAATATAATATAATATATTATATATGATATGATATGATGCACGCCATAGATAGATAGATAGATAGATAGATAGACAGATAGATAGATAGATAGATAGATATATATACACACTTCCAGATGGTATGTCAGAAACTATGTTAGAAAAGTGTATCAGGGCGCGGATCACTCGAAGAAAGTAGTGATTGCGTTTTTTTTTGGTGTGTGTGTGTGTCACGTTTCAGAATATAGAAAACATCAGGCTTCAGTTTGGGTTGGTTACCTTTGGTGGGGCGCACCATCCGATTTCAAACATGTTACCCATACCCGATTTGTGATTTTTGAAATCCGGTACCCATGCCACCCATGGTTCCCATTTGGTTTTTTGAAGCAGCGGCTCACCCTGGCATGTGCACCCTGAGGATGCTGATGTCTCATACCAGTGGCTTGGAAAGACAGTGAACCCGAAGATTTTTTGTCACATGTTTCAGCATGCATGTGCTGTCACATTGGTCATCATTTTCCCGTTGCTGAGGTAGGAATTTGTAATTTTATCGGATTATTGTTATAAGTTGTTATTGATGATTATTGAGTGGCGATGGGATCACTCTGGCATCAAAACTGGCAATCCCAGAACCAAGACATGGCTGTGTAAGTTCTCTCAGATCATCCATGGTATCAGTTTACGGCAAGGTGGTTGCGATTCTTCTTGGACGATGATGTGGAACTCAAAAAGATTGAGGAGCCATGAGCTGCGAGAGCCGCTATTCAAAGCCATCAGTCACGGCAGGTCATTTATACAGTGGTGAGAAAGGAACCAAGCAGATCTACAATGTACACATATTCTATATTATATGCGCTCCATTATGCATCATTATGCTCCCTATCTAATGAAACCAGTTGGAGCTTTGGAATTGATTTTCCCAACCACATGATAGTCATGATATGTGCATATCATCCACACGTTGTAGCTGGCTGCAGCGGTCTGTCCTTGAAAGATTTGAAAGAGAACCCCTGCAAAGTAACTTCGGCTTGGGACATTTGCAGTTTCCCTGTGGAAGGCTCATTTTCATGCTAGATACAACACACGCACACACAGACAGTCTTGTAATTGTGTGTGAACATTTACATACAGATACCTCCAGAAGAACTCTGCCATGGACCATGTGGATCCTGTGGCCCTGCTGCATGGTGCTGCCAGGAACAGTATGGAAGTGGCCAGGGCGAGGACTACTGGAGCACTGGACAGGCCATGGCTTTGAACCATGGGAGGACCATTGGGGACCTATGAAACCATGGGTTGACCATCCAGATACATCCAGATTGTTGAGTTTGGACCCTGAGATGATAGAATATTTGTCAATTCAAAGATATTCTCCATAATATCACGACATGAACTGCTTCAGCTGGATTTGAAGCATCAAAGAACACAATCAAAGGGCACAACTTTATCCGCTGCCTCGCTGAGCAAGGCATATTTGTGCCATGTGGGTGTCTTTAAATTGGACAATATCTCCAAATGTGAGCCGCGTCAAATCCCCAGTAGTTCATTTTTAGTAAGGGAGTGGCAACAGGCAATAAGGACTCTGCGTGAGCAAAACCCTTGTGTGCATAAGCCCGCGTAAGCATCAGCATAAGCTATTCCTGCGCGCAAGCTAAAACTGTGGGTGCGCAAGGAGCACACAAGCGACCGCGCAAGCATTGCCTTAGCGCCTCCAGAAAGACAAGACCTTTTGGCCGCGGCTCATTTCAATGGGAAAATTATGATAAACAGTGATAAACCATGACAAACCATGATAAACCACCCAATTTAGAAGTATTTCATGGTATTTCATTTTCAGACAAACCCATGCAATGGAGGTCAAGAAGAAGCTGATCGAAGTACTAAAGGATCTCGTGAAAAGACACCAGGCCAGCCCAGCGTCGGTAGCCGCCAGGGCTTGGGAGATGGATGAGATGGTCTCAGGGCATGAAGCCAAGTGCACCCAAGCGCTGTTTTATGACACTCATTTGTTTAAGGGAAAACTATGTGAATGGGAATAACTCTCCAGTTTATTCCAACTTAAAGAGGGCATTCACCTATGGTTGATGGCTTGACGGGTTTTTCTTTTGCGATGCGATTTTGCCAAAGTGTCTTGTTCCCGCAAATGGCAAGATTATATAGTTCGATTACTCTTTGCCTATCATGGCAGGTCTTTGCTCGTTTTCTACGGCCCAAAGTTTATTACATGGAAAACCACCCACAGTCTCCAGCGCGACAACTGTGCTGTATCGCCGACCGCTGGGAACAAAATCCAAAGCAAATCGATCACCCTAGACCCCAATGCGCGGTCTTTTCCGTTTTGCATAGCTTGATCATGAAAGTTTCATAAGAGTGAAACAATCGTTGGGAGCTCCATCAAATGTCGCCATGCTGTGTTAGTACAGGTTGGTCCGTGTTCTACATTATTCAGTGCAAATGAAGATCTACTGCCCAGCTACAACGAGAGTTTTTTTGTATGGAAATAGTCCATTGAATAATATTGAATATATTGAATATTAGATATGAGTAGATATGGTCTCATTTGGTTTTATCTTTCACAGAACATGGGCTACAGTAGCGTCAGACATGGGTGGCCCATCTCACGAGGAGATCCGGGCGAAGATCACCGATGAGGAGGTCCAGGAGTGGATGAAGGTGCGTCCCCTGGACTTTTGAGGCGCGGACCCTGGGTTTGGATCGCTGGATCCATGTTGGGATCCGAGAAATCTGTTGGGGAAGATTTAAATTCTTAGGAACGGGTGGAATATCTAGTGGAACCATGTGGAACCCATGAGAACGGCAACTGCAGGTGGCCCTGACGGCTGATGTGTTGGCAACACCTGCAGCTGGTGCTTAGCACTCTGAACAGCTGCATCGGTTTGTACAGTGCCACATGTGCCACGTGTGGTGGGGCGCGCTTTGGTGCGTACAGCTTTTTGCCATGCTCATGGGCTGCTCATGGCTGCTGACAGTCTAGTTGGAATTTAACATGAAAAGCATGGGTAACATGGCAATGGGAAGATAGCATGGAACCAAAACAACCCAGAGGTTGTTTTTGTTCGGTTGACACCAGCGATTTCAGTGCCCATGTGCATCGCTGTGCGAAGACCCTGCAGTATTGGACTGCAGCCACCAGCACGCAAAGCCAAGAACACAATGTCCTGCTTATGCTTCGAAGTGGTCATGGCGGTTGGCAAGGTAAGCCCCAGGGCCTCGCAAGGTCAGCGGCACTTCTTGTTTATTTTGACAACTGGATTTTGGTTTCAACAATGCCAGTTGTCACTTGGCACCCTGATTCAGGTATATAACCCATAAAAACCACCCAAATGGCCAAGTTGCTGTTGAGATGTGACTGTGAACTTGTGAAGCCAACAACTATAGTCACGCGTTGTTTGCAGCACCGATGATCACCCAGAGTGTTTATTGCACCCCTTTACATGGGTTGGTTCCAATCCCATCCATCAAGAAAGAACCCCCCTAGATTCTAGATGGAAGCCTCTAGGAATAGATCATATATGTAATAGAATTAATAGATGCCCTATAGGGCCAGGGTTTTTTGGGGCGGGCTTCATTAGGGGGAGAGGATACAATGACTCGATGACCAGCGTCAAGCTCAGGCTTTGCACGAAGGGAATGATTGGATGTTTCTTAAGCCACCGAAGGATTTGGCAGAAGGCCTAGGGGCCTTTGTACCCACTGGGAACCGGGGACCCTATCTGGAGTTTTCAAATTTTTAGATGACCCCAAATTCAGATAGTCGGACTAAGGTTCTACTTGGTAGAGTATTATGTATTGATGGGTAAATGGCTGATGCTTAACCCCCGGGTGTTTGACAATGGATTATAGGTGGTAAACGGTCTGGTGTTTGATGCCCTTTGGACCGACGTTCATTTGGAAACTGTCAAGGCTGTCAGTGCCCAGAGGAACAGCCCTCATTTGCGATTCATTGGGCACATTGATTATGCATGTGGGCGATTCATATTACAGATTTTTTCAGGGTAGCTGGGTTGGTGGTGGGGTTTCCCTGGTGAAAGTTAGCAGAGTTAAAGTGGGGGCGTGGTGCGGAAATGCGCTCAGATGATTGCACAAGATTTGTCTGGAAAATTGAACAAAGCCATTACGTGCTGCGCACGTTTCTTTTGTCAAATGCCATATGATTCCGATTTCTTCACAATGTTTCAACTACCAGCAACCACCATTCTGCAGTATCCGGCCATTTCGCCCAATTTGGGCCACTTCTGCCAGATGGTGAGTGAGAAATTGCCAGCCGTGGTGGTACTGGAGGACTGGAGCTCCGGGCTCGGTCCCTGCTGAGGATGGACCCCAACATGACTGCAATATACAGGATTATGCAGGTAAACATGGGAAAACCCCGCGTGTATACATATACATATATATATATCTCTCTCTCTCTCTCTCTGTGAGTGCATTTACTGTATTTTTTTACGATCTATTTTTTTAATGATGTTTAATGATGTAACATCATTTTCCCTGACAATTTATTCATCTTTTTTTTGGTGGCATCCCTGTTTTAAAGACACCTGAACAGGGGTGGAAGAGGGACTATACTAATTACTGTAGAGATAGATGTTGGAATGGTGGCTGGGAAGCCAATGCCCTGCACAGTGGTGTTTGCACAGCCACGATCAGCAGATGCGCGCCATCTCCGCTTCTGAGACTGCTTTTGTTGCTACGTGAGGTTGGTGTCCAATACTTGTCAAACATGATTTAAATGCAAGTGTCGTCAAATTTAATTTCCATGGTGCTCACAGCATCTCTTGTGCGTTTTATGTTATGCCCATCTCCTCCCCATTTAGCAAGAAACTATCCCACTAAGTTCAATCTTTAGCAGTTGAGTTTCCACCACAAGACCTTTCGAATCCTTTGGACCCATCATTTGGGATCCTAGGGTCAGCTATGAGGACGACGTGCGTTTAGTGGAGGACTTCAGCGACAAGCTCTTAAAACTCATGGACGAGCTCCCTGCGGATTGGGAGGCCACTTGCAGCATCTTGCAGCCTCTGGGGATATCATGGGGCATCCATGTCTTAGATCCCATTGTCAAATCTTGCAGTTGCCCAATTTTCTACAGTTCAGTGGGTGAAAACTTCAAGAATTTGCTACTGAGCTGCTACTGGATATGGATAAAAGCAGTAAAGATTCAAAATGAGATTGTTTGAAGTTCAATGCAATTTGGAATCAATTTGGATTGGATGTGTGTGTGTGTGCAACGTGATGTAACGTGATGTAATGTGATGTATTGCGATGTAATGTGATATAATGTGATATAGTGATATAATGTGATGTAATGTTATGTCATGTGATGTAATGTAATGTAATGTGATGTTTTGTCACGTCCTGTTTTGTAGTGTGCAGCATGTAGTGCATCCAGTCATGTAACAATGTGCGTACGTAATGGTGTGTGGTTCTGTGTTATGTCAATGTCATGTTACGTTATTGTAGGTTATGTTATGTTGTGTTGCGCTGCGTTTGTTTATGCGTATGTTCATGTGCATGCGACATATGTATATATATATACATATCTAAATAAATAAATATATAAATAAATAAAATAAATAAATAAATAAATATAATATTATACCTGTGTATAGTATACATATATATATATATGTGTGTGTGCATTTATGTATATATATATATATCTATCTAATTATGTGTGTGTGTTTGTGCCCTTTTTTTCGGCGAGATATGATCAGATATGCCTGTGCCTCAACAACTTCATTGCCAACTCATCATAAACCAACAAGCTCCACATCACTGAGACGCCAGGTGTGTCTACTTGGGGCCATTGCTCCTTGGCACCACTGTGCTTGCCAGGTCTGGCAAGAGCCTCTGGTAATCGAACAGGTTGCAATGAAAAATAACCCAGGGCCCATTGATGACTTTCCTTAGCAGACTGTCAAATTACCTGGTAGTTGGTGAGTTCCATTGTGAACAGTTTGGGAGCTACTTTCGCTTTATAGTGGCTGTTTCATTCAACAGTTGTAACACACACATATATATATAGATAGGTATAATTAGACATATATATATATACATATAAATATATATACAGTACATGTATATCATGTTTACTACTATATATATATAATTATATGTACATATTAGTGTCTGAAGATCTATGTCTACTCAAATGGATCTAGTTAGCAATTAAAGCGGGCAGCCAGTTGCAGCTGTTACCTTCCCTGCAACCTGTTCCATCTCAGACCTCAGCTGAGGGGAATATCAATCCTGATGTGGAGCCCTTCCACATGAAGATGCTCGGCAAAGTCACGGGATGACCTGTGGCATAGTTACTTTAGTGTGGCACTAGGTTTTTCCTCCACACTTTGAAGCGGCCTCACAGCCTAGTTCACCTGGACTACTCAGAACGGACCATAGTTTTTCAGTATTTGGGTTATGTTTAGTAATAGAGGGGAAGGGTTCGAAGAAGAAAAACACGTGTTTCCTGCTATCCGCTGTGCCTTTCGAATTGCCATACGTTTTTTTTAGCCAACATCCAACGTGTATTATTTTGATGTGTTCAGCGGGAGGATGCTATTAGTGCCCCAACATCGATATCACCATACCATGGAGCTGGGGTGATGGTGCCCATTGGTCCTCCACCCAGGCTGTATTCCTTTTGCCGCTTGCTCAATGTCAGATGATGTTGGGATTCTTTGGCAATGATCCAACTTGGGAATACTAATAACATTTGATAACCATCAGTGCAAATATCGTCACGTACTGCGTTACTGCATGCTCAAGACGCAGACGCAGGGTCAGTTCGGGGATGTGGCCATGAGGTCTTAAGATGAACATATGTCAAGCTGATGCAGCCCAGCAATGATTCACCAGAGACGCGGCTTCCGCCACGACCTCTTGAAAGGTTTCAGTATAGCAGATATCAAATTCAACTCAAGTCTTGCAACTGGACTTGTGCCTGAGAAAGGTTCATATATCTAGCTAATCATGATTAAATCATGATTGAATCATGATTAAATCATGATTAAATCATGTAACATCATGCACCCTTTGGTAAACAAACATAGCTATTGAAATGGCAATTTATAGTTGATTTAGCCATTTCAAATGGTGATTTTCCGTAGTGCCATAGTGATTTAAGTATGTTTACCAGAGGGTAACCATGCCATGAACATCCATGAAATCTGATGAAATCAAGAGATCTTCCAACCCAGGAGCCCTTCTTAGCCCGAGGCGTTGGGGGAGGGCGACCATCCCCGGGAAAGACGCGGCGAGTGTCGTTGGGAGACTCAGAGATTTCGGCTCAGTTTTGGTCCATTGGGGTTCCAAACTCATCCAAACACCAGTTTTAGATTTCTATATGCTGTATCTATATGTATTTATTGTGTAACTGTTTAACTATATTCTATATACTATCATATCTAGATGATTTGTGTACGTATGGTTCTCGCCATATAAATTAAAGACATGATAAGACATGATTATTATTTATGATAGACTGTTTTTTGAGTGTTTATCCCTTGTTCTCCATTCTATTCTTTGGTCAGAGCCTGCAGCTCAGGGGACAAAAACAATCTCAAGAGAGAGAGAGAGAGAGAAGGGTACTCAAGGGAGTTAATTCATGAGGGGGGTTACCCCAAAATGTTTGTGATAGACATTCCTAATAAGATTGATACCCCACCTAGTTGCTTCAATCAGTCAAATGAAATGAATGAACCACATGAACGAATATGCACATGGAATTGTAGTGAAAAACCATATGTGTGTATAAAATATATATATATATAACGACAAAACAACTAAAAACTTCACAAAAACAATACCCGATTTTGCATCTACAAAAGAGAAAATAAAGGGAGGGAACATCCAGGTACACAGCTGGTTAGCATCCAAAAATAATGATTTCCCCCTAACACCAAACCCCTGCTCCCTTGATAATAAACACCTGGAGTAGTTTCCATTGCTATAGGGAGTATCAGTATTAGGTGGGTGTGAATTTTGCTTTTGTGATCACAAAAACACTCACATTGTCCATTTCAAGATCGATAGCATCCCTTATTAAAGTATAACTGAAATATTGAAGATGTGCAATTTCAATATCGATCAAATGCCTCATTTTCCCTCATTAAGATCTATAGTTGAATTATTGCCAAACATTGGCTTTCGAGCTTCCCCCAATAATAAAATCAAGCCTTCATATGTTTGTTAAAAGCTAAACATGTCCTTTTCAAAATCAAATAAACAAAGTTCCTTGTGAAAATGTAGTTAGATATTGACACATTGTTTAAAAAAAAAACGTCACTTTTGAAGCTTTCCCCTCACAATCAAATCAACATCTTAATTTAAAAAAAAGATGCATTATTGTCAGTGATCATAATAACAAACCGCCCCCAACCAACTAGATTTTATTACTAAGGGGGGTAACCTTCAAACGGGACCTTGATTTTTGAATTGTCCGAGCAAGATTGATTAAAAATCATATTGATAAAATTGAATGTTCCCAACATTGAGAGAGGACCCTAGCTTTTATTATTTGGTGAGCCTTCAGCAACAGGGGGAAGGGATTATAATAGGGACATAACCGAGTGGCATGATAATCTTTCAGGCAATAGTTTGAAGTGCTTCTGTGATTGTTCCAGGCAATAGAAAGTGTGGTCTTATCATCCAATAATCTTCCCTCCATCCCCCATGAAATTTCAACAGGTTGTGATGATGCATAAAGAAACATCATGTCAGGTTGGTGTGTTTTTCCCGTCCATGTCTCTTACTTGTCCTTAGGGAATGGGGGAATGGGTTGTTAATAGTTGTGAAGGGTCATACCCCCATTCCCTACTAAGCACATCTAAGCACCAGTAAGTTCTGCTATTGCTCCGCAGGGACAATGTCTTTGTGCCGCATCGACCTGCAGGTCTGGCAGTCCAGTTGACTTGGACAACTTGGGTTTGATATACAAGGTCGCCCCCCAGTTATGTTTGTTGGTTTATAAACCCCATGAATCGTTCAAGATATTATGATATATCATGAATTCGGGGTCTCCACCTTCAGAAAGCCAGGTACCCATGCCTACTTGGCCGAATCCTTGGTGGATTGCATGGTTTAGTGGAGTCGAAGCTGACGAAACCATAGGGAAGCACAGGAAAGCCATGGTATAATGTGGTATTCCGAAATATTTGGGAGTTTCCCAACGAACCTTGCCCTCCCATCCTGAATGCTGGACACCAACTCAGGTGTCCCTGAAAGGCGCCGAACGCTTGGTGAAGGCCTCTAGATGCCTCTAGGGACCCTAGGGTAGCTCTGGATCTGTTTCTATATCACGAAATTCTCCATATTTGGATGATTTTTACCCCAAGGACACGACATGAATTTCAGGAGCGGAATGTGAAGCCTGATGAATCCGGGGGAGGTAACCCAAAAAAAAAGTTACAAAACCGGTATCTTGTTATATCCAACTATTGTATGCCACCATAAAAGGAGGACTACATGAGACTATATATACGTCCATCACTTTGTATCACTGGTACTGAAGTCCTAGAGATTCACAGCCCCAAATTGACGTCTTTTGTCCATGTCCAGGAGCTTCCTCTGGCGTGTTACCATGTGGACCTGACCGCCTGGAAACTCAAGGGTTCAACGGAAGTTCAACGGGTTCACCGGGAAAAGAAAGTGGGTACCCTCTGGTAATTTAACATAGCTATAGAAAATCACTATTTTTAATAGGTAAACCATCTATAAATGGGCCATTTTCCATAGCTATGTTAGTTTACCAGAGGGTACCAGTCCTACCAGGGATGCCTTAGATTCAGTTCCCATGGCATGGCGCTGAGCTGCAGCGACAAGCTGAGCCAAGCTGAACCAAGGCCTGGTCTTTGCCCAACCTGAAGCTGTACGCAGCGGTGAATCAGATCGCCACACAGGCTACGCCTTTCCGAATATGCGTAGGTTAGACGAATGCTTGTTAGATGGTCTTGCTTCTTTTGTTTTCAGCCGCGAGTCTTACAGTACCCAACAAAAATCAGAACACATAGCAGCTGGTTTGTGAACAATTGTGTCCCTGTAAATGGGCTACCATGCTCCAAAAGTGTCCGTCCGTGATACATCGTGATACCCTTCAGTAAACATAGCAATGGACAATCCCTGATGTCAATCATGGTTAATCCACATTTAGATCTGGCTGGTGGTTTCATTTTTTTTTCCAGTTCACATATGGGATGTCATCCTTCCCAATTTTTTCAGAGGGGTAGGTCGACCACCAACCAGAGATAGTCTTGTGTACAGATCATCAGATCGTAGCTCCTCAACAGAGCACAAAAAACCTCGCAGATCAGGACTTCGAGGCGGCCTCCACAGCCTCAGAACCTAGGAAAGTCCTGGTTCCGGGGGTTCCTGACATGGAGTTACCCAAGAATTGATGGAACGTGATGGAACGTGTTCAAAATTGCTTTCTTACCATGGGTGATTTGGGGGTGCCTCCATTTCAGGAAACCTCCATGTGTATCCATTGAGGCACTTATATTCAGGGATGTAAGTAAGATTGAATTGGGAAAATAATGGTTCGCTCAATAAACCCAGATTGTTGGGGCTGGTCACCCGGACGACCGGACTCGTCATGAACCAACCTGTATTTATAGACTTACTTGTCAACCAACCAATCCCAGATATCGAAAATCCCAGAGGTACATATGATTTCAAAACATATCAAAACATATTGGGACACCATGTTTCAAGCTTTTGTGCTAACACTTAGGATGGGGGTTGAACTATTATATGTCCCAGGTGTTTCATGTACCCAATGATTTGGGGGTACGGTACATGCTGTAACAAAGGGACACTTATGTTGTCCCCCCCATCACAATAACGACTAATATATATGTATATATATATATACTATATCCACATCGATCTACCTACCTACCTACCTACCTACCTACCTAATCTATCTATATCTATCTATCTATCTATCTATCTATATATATATGTGTGTATGTATATATCTGATCTTATCTTATCTGATTTTTCTTATCTTATCTTATTTTATATTATCTTATAATTATCTTATCTTATCTCATCTAATCTAATCTATCTATCTATGTATCTGTGTGTGTGTGTCATAGCTGCAGGGCCCTTTAGGAAAACACATCCGAGGTTTCTAAGAGTGGCGCAGCCATGACGTCGCGCTTCCTGCAATGGGCTTGGACTGTTTCAGGCGCATGGATGAGTTTCAAAACTGTTGGGGAGGGGTTCACATGCCTCCTACAACTTTCCTTTTGGCAGTGCCAATTCTATCCTATGCATTGCCGGGACACAGTTCTATGGTTTGTACTGAAGTGCAAGAAAACGCGATTGTCATTGGACTGAACTTGTGACATGGAAGCCATGGGTCTGGGGCTGGGGACAGACCCGGACATCTATGTGTTTGCTCGTCAGTTGCAAGTATACATGTATCCCATCAACAAAAGAACATGTTCAAACTGTTAAGTATCACCCAAGTTGTCTAAGAGCCTCTAAGGGATTTGACTTTTTAACGTCAGAGTGGATCGTCAATATATATAGGCCTCATTGCGGCAGATTGGGCGCCAGTCAACCGTTGGTGTCCCAATAGTGAAGGAGACAAATCAATGAGAGATCATTGGAAGCGCCATGACTTTGAGCCGCCACTACACGAATATCATGTTGTCACCTGTCATGTATGATTATTATAGATGCATGCATACGTGCGTACGTGCCTACATACCTACATACCTACATATACCTACATATACCTACATACCTACATATACCTACATACCTACATATGTACATAATATTTATATTAGGGGCAGATGACATGGGAATAAGTGGGGATTTGTTACCCCGTACGTTGAGCAGATGACATGAACATGGTTTTGTCCCGAAACATGTGCAGGCAGATGACTTGAGAGTTGTCGACCACCCGATTATTTTTTTTGTGCGCCGCCATTTTTGGGTTTTGTTAGCAGATTACATGAGACTATGTGACATGTTTGGTCGCTTATGACCAAGTCATGTGTTCATGCACCACTGCTGCACAAGGGCGAAACAAAAAAAAACACTGCTGCCTACGTCACAAAAACACATGAGATGAGTTCTCAACTCTGGCTTCGGGAATGCTCTTGGTGAAATGACAGTGAACCCTTAGCTGAATCTTTGCACCTGCTCTTACACGCTTGAAGGCCATGTCTAAATATATTTTAAAATCTAATTTAAATTTGGAAAGTTGAGAGCTCGTCATGACATGTGCTCAGGGGGCCTGGTGTCGAAACCCCAAGGTGAACCGGGGTCAAAACCAGCTTACAATGTCAATTTCTACGTTCCCTGTTTTTAGTTGAGAGCTCGTGACATGTGCTCTGGGGGCTTGGTGTGGAAACCACAAGGTGAACCGGGGTCAAAACCAGCTTACAATGTCAATTTCTACGCTCCCGGGTCTTTTGTTGAGAGCTCATGCCATGTGCCCTGGGGGCCTGGTGTCGAAACCACAAGGTGAACCGGGGTCAAAACCAGCTTACAATGTCAATTTCTACGCTCCATGTTTTTGGTTGAGAGCTCATGACATGTGCTCTGGGGGCCTGGTGTCGAAACCACAAGGTGAACCGGGGTCAAAACCAGCTTACAGTATGAATTTCTACGTTCCCGTGTCTTTAGTTGAGAGCTCATGTCACATGCTCTATAGGCCCGTACACTTTCCAAAAAATCAGCAAAGAACAACCAGAATCAGGGATGGAAAGGAGAAAACTGTGGGTAAATGGTTGCAACGTCTGCAGAGGCCGAGCCATCAACTGGATTGAGGCCGCACACAGGCGGGGAAGAAGGAAAACGGGCACCAGCTACCTGGCCAGGTGAAAAGACGGAGGGAAACACAATGGGGAGGAACAAAACCGTCAGGCGGGCCCAGGTCAAGGGTGGCAACGGGAAGACAACAGGGAACAACAGCAAAGGGAGGTTTCCTCCAGGCGAGCAGGCTCCAACAGGTAACCGCAACGGGGAAAACAGAACGAGTAAATGAGAAATGGTGGGTACATGGTGGGTAAATATAAAAAAAACGTGGTTTTATATTAATATTATTTCAGGAAACCTGATGTGTCATCATGCATGCTTTGTTTATGTATGTTTCATAATTACGTTTTAAATGTGTTGTGCATGTGTTTGGAAATTTTGGGCATAATTTAAAATGTGTTATGAATGTGTTTTGGACATATTGTCTTCAAAATGTGCTGGTTTTCTGTTGTTTTTGCTGGTTTTGCTGCTTTTGGAGAAATATGCCCACCCTTTTTTCTTCATTTACCATTCAAAACCAGCTTACCCGTGTCTTTAGTTGAGAGCTCATGTCGTGTGCTCTGCATGGGGGCCTGGTGTGGAAACCACAAGGTGAACCGAGGTCAAAACCAGCTTACAATATGAATTTCTACGTTCCCGTGTCTTTAGTTGAGAGCTCATGTCATGTGCTCTGGGGGCCTGGTGTCGTCACCACAAAGTTAACAGGGCTCAAAACCGCTTTACAATTATAATTTTGTTTACGTCTTACCTGTGTTTGTTTGCAATCTTGCTTGAAGGCCAGATCGTCCATTCAAACCCATCGAACAAGAAAATTGCCAAAAGAAACCCCGTGGAGGGGACGGGAGGAGGGAGAGGGAGAGGGAGTGAAGTCGGCTCCACCTATTTCTGTATCATCAGACGTGATCAGGTTTCTTCACCTTCATCATTTTAACATTGCTTTGCGTGTGTGCATGTTGTTTGTGTAATGTTGGTGCGCAACCGTTTTTTGTGATGACATGACATACAGGTGAATATCACGTGAATGAAAAGGGTCATAGGGCAAACCCATGTTTTTCATATTTTTTTGGTGTTTTTTCAGATGGGCTGGAGATCGCATGTCATGAGCTCATATGTTTCGGAGGGCAGGCGTAACACAAACCTATCGCAAAAAATAGGTATGGTACTTTTGGATACTTTTGGTACCTAAAGCAGATGACATGTTCGCTGTTTTTGTGTGTTAAAGAAAAGCGCACTTGGGAGATTACATGAGAATAGTGTTTTCATGTGTATTCTAAAGTGCCTTTCACTACACTCATGTCATGTGAGAATAGTTTATATATGTGTGCAGTATATATATATATATATGTATTATCAGTGTACACTCATCATCATCATCATCATCATCTCATCATCATCATCATCATCATCATCATATCATATCATATCATATCATATCATATCATATCATATCATATCATATCATATCATCATCATCATCATCATCATCATCATCATCATCATCATCATCATCATCATCATCATCATCATCATCATCATCATCATCATATCATCATCATCATCATCATCATCATCATCATCATCATCATCATCAATCACCAACCATTAACCATCAATCACCAACCATTAATCATCAATCATCAATCATCAATCATGAATCATCACCATGTGCACGATAATTCTCATAATGCGGTCAGCCCCTGGGAATCCCACAACGAGAGTCCAATGAACATGTGTCATATTAGGCAACACCATCATACTTGGGGTTGCATCCCGCATAAGTTGGGACATGACTCGCATATCTTAGGGCAAATTATGGTTATGCATTATAACATAAGGAACTGCACGCCCCTGTGAATTATTGTAAATGTATCAAAGTGCCCAACCCCGAACCAAAAGCGCTTCGTCACATCTCTGTAAGTTCACATGTGGGTTAACAGATCAAGAAGCACCCCCCCAGTCATGACGTGTAAAAAGAAGGCTTGGGTGCCATGGGCAAAGCCGGCGGTGTGCCCGGGAGCCCCGATATACCTCGATATACCACTGGCGGTTGATGTACGGCGGCGACATATTTGAGGGGATGAACATCCATGAAATTTGATGTTCACCAGCGGATTACAGTGGTTTTGAACCATACCCATATTTTCTGACATAGCGTACATTTCATGTATATACATTGTATGTGCAATCACAAACGCATGTATGTATATATATATATATGTTTATATTGTTGAATAGATAAATAAATTTAAATAATTAATTATATATATATGTGTGTGTGTGCGTGTGAGAGTGTAAGATATGAATATATATATATATAAATATGTTTATATGTACGTTTGTGTGATGTATATTTCACATAAGCCATCATCCAGGTGGATCGGTTTGGAAGGCCACCACTTTGTTTTTCATCTCGCCGTGGTGGCCTTTTCCAGTTCAAACTGAACTGGACACCCCTCCGCAAGCAAGGCAGCTCGTCCACAGTCAGTTGTCGTGCCAATGCAGTTCCATGTTTGGTAGATTCTTGATGCTTCTAGAATGCAAATGATGTGTTTGATCATTGATAGCTGGATGATTATTTACAATACTTGTAAGTCCATGTAATATAGCGTGTGTGTATACATATAAGAGTGAAACAATGGGAGTCAGACAATTAAAACAAACCAGAAAATAAACAAAACAATGAATACAGACAGTACATCACGCATTATCGAACATTATCGAACTATGTTTTAATCGTATATATGATGAAACATGCATACAGATATGCCCACAATAAATTTAGTTTTATTGAGTTTATTGTTGGTTGGGTATAGAGTGTATAGCAAAATCTGTTTTTTTAGGTCTTTCCATGTCCACACATTGGTTGACAGATTGTTCCGACCTGAGGCAATTGTCAAATTCTTGTCAGGACAGGGGATGAGCTTTGGTTGTGTCCCGCCACGATATGTCCGAGAACTGACCGCATTGAACAACCTTTGGGTGACCCAAGATATGATTTTTCCCCACTTGCCAGGTGAGGGTCTCTAAATTTTAGTTTCGCAGAGTTGCTTTCTACTCCTCGTCCTTCTCCTTCTCCTCCGGCACTGCCGGACCTGAATCGCGAGTTCCAGATCACAGTGAGCACTGCCGGACCTCAACTGCGAGCTCCAGATCGCAGTGGGCAATGCCGGACCTCAACCGCAAGCGCCAGATCTCAGTGGGCACTGCCGGACCCCAACCGCGAGTTCCAGATAGCAGGGGGCACTGCCGGACCCGAACTGCGAGAGCCAGATGTTAATGGGCATTGCCCGACCTCAACTGCGATAGCCAGATCTCCGTGGGCACTGCTGGACATCAATTGTGAGGGCAAGATGTCACATAGAATGTCGGATGCAATGTCAGAGGTGTCGGATAGAATGCTTGTTGGAATGTCAGAATATATATATGTCAGATCGAATGCAGATAGAATGTCAGAATAAATGCAAGATAGAATGCCAGGATATATGTCAGATCGAATGCCATATAGAATGTCAATAGAATGTCAGAGTATATGTCAGGTCGAATGCCAGATAGAATGTCAGAGTATATGTCAGATAGAATGCGAGATAGAAAGTCGGAATAGATATGCCAGATGAATTTCAGTTGGCAGGGATCACTCGAACATTCTTCAGGGGTATTTTGATGGTGTCCTGGAGGTTTCCTTTGGTGCGTCGCTGTGTTTCCTGCAGCCTGGGAGGACCCGCGCCAATCTGCACAATTCAAAATGGCTGGAGAAAATTCGCAGAGTCAGGTTGCTTCAGTTGCTTGATCAAGCCCGCGCATGTGTCTATGGAGTTGTTTTTTGATGGGGATTGGTTGAATCATAGGATCTTTTGATATTTTTTTGCGAGCATCCAGTGCCAGCAATGTTTGATCGTTTCTGGTTTGTTTTGTGGGGAGGAATTTGCTGTGCCCAACTTGGTGCCTGATAGGTTGCTGAAAGGTGGCAGCTCTCCCAACCCACCTTCCAGTAGAGCAAAAACAATTAAACAACAACTGAAACAAACGCAATGCACAATTTGCCATGTGTATGATTTTGTCCACTAAATTGTGGAGTTTGTGCGAGGTTTTGTGCTGCAGGATGTGTCTAATCGCTGTCAAACCCATCACGAGGTCTGGCAAACGATCCTTATTGGCACCTTGGCGATGAAAACAATCCACCTTGTGAACCACCTAGGATGTAGATTGAACGAAGAAATATGATTAAATGACCATGTGGGTCAAAAGTTTCGAGGATGTGAGTTTGCCAACTGATGCCCTTCTTGTTCAGAGAGGATTGGAACGCGGAAGGCTGGAGATACCTTAGGAGACTAGCGTCGTTGGGTCTTGCGGGGTTTCACCCTACCATCACTCACACTAATCCCTTCCTCTTAGCATGAATTTCCCCGATTTGGGCCCCACAAAATGAATTGGTCCAATGCCAAACCTGGAGATTTTGGGGTGTATTTGAGAATTAGTAGCGGAATGAGGTTGTTCAGCATGGCCAATGAAGCTCACGCCCCAGGCACGGTCTATATTGTGACAAGTTCCACGTTGATTTCTTTCAACAAATACCTGATGCAGCCCGGGAGGTTCACCGGATGGATGGTGATAGCTGCGATGTCCAAAACGAAAGATCCCAGGTGTGTGTGTCCCCCAAAATTGGGCCAGGGGAGCAATTGCATATAATTGCATACTTACTGAAGGTACATCAGGGGTTTGCTGTGGATGTTCCCCTATGCCCGTCCGTTTCCAAGTATCTTAACGTGGCAGGATCAGTTTTGATAGCAATTGGCTCGACATAGGTCGCAGATGCGACACGAACAAAGTTGTTACATAGAAGAGCAAGAGCATCAGCCCATCACTCCTAACCTGCTGTATCCTATCAACAGTAGATCCACGTTTTTCCTCTCTGTGGACGCTTAAGCTTGTGGGACCTGAATTACAATAATTTTCCAATTTCTACCCATACTATTGGGGTTTCTTATGAGAGTACTGTGTGAATAGGGGTCCCATCAGGGGATCACAACATTCCCAGGTTCTCTCACGCTGTCCACCTCACCGCCTTCCATATGGTGCCTTGGAGGATACAACCTGCCGACGGGGCCAACACCTGGTCCCCGGACAATGTTGTCTTGTGATAATGTGTGGGTCCCCCAGAACTTGTCCAGACAGATTAGACTTTGAATACTGAGGAAACTATTTGTACAGCATCTGGGGCTTCAGGATTGAGTTGATGCATTTTATACCACACACGCTTCTTCAGGTGGTCACGCTGGTCCTTTCGTTGGCTTTCTACAAGGTAGCGCCACAGTTCCTTTGCTGCAGTTCCGCAGGGGCCACCTGCTTCAGTAAAATATATGTATATATAGATATTAAAAAAAAAAAACTTTACTTCGTGTGATCCCCACCATGACATTTATACATGTTCTTACTGGCACATCTTCTGGCATTCTATCTGACATATCTTCTGACATTTTATTTGGCATTCTATCTGGCATATCTTCTGGCATTCTGGCATCTGGCATATCTTCTGGCATTCTATCTGGCATCTATCTGGCATTCTATCTGGCATATCTTCTGGCATTCTATCTGACATATCTTCTGGCATATCTGGCATCTGGCATTCTATATTTTCTGGCCTTCTACCTGGGCAAATCTTCTGGCACTCTATCTGACATTTTATCTTCCTACATGAGGTCCGGCAGGGAACACTTGGCGTGGATACTCGCGGTTGAGGTCCGGCAGGAACACTGGGCGTGGATGGTCGTGGTTGAGGTCCGGCAGGGAACACTGGGCGGGGATGGTCGTGGTTGAGGTCCGGCAGGGAACACTGGGCGTGGATACTCGCGGTTGAGGTCCGGCAGGGAACACTGGGCGGTGATGGTCGTGGTTGAGGTCCGGCAGGGCACACTGGGCGTGGATGGTCGTGCGTTGAAGTCCGGCAGGGAGCAGGAGGAGAGAGAGACGAGGAGAGGAGACGAGGAGAGGAGAGGAGAGGAGAAGAGAGGAGGAGGAGGAGAAGGAGGACGAGAAGAGGGAGGAGAAGGAGGAGGACGAGGACGAGGAGGACGAGGACGAGGAGGAAGCAACTGACATAAAATCTAACAACCCTCACCTGGCAGGTGGGGAAAAAACACGTTGGAAGTCAACCAAACTGAGGTAATATGTAGATAAGTATATAAAAAAAGGTATATATAAGTTATAATATATATATAGAATTATATAGAAACACATATACATATAGATATATAAATAAACAAATAAAACAATGAATAAATAAATATATAGGTGCGTGTATTTGGCCTCGTGCTGTTCATCATTTGAGCATATGAACTAGTCTCAGAAGGGACATGAACTGATGTTTCGTGCACATTCTTTATTCTGCACAGATGTCACTGCGATACTCCCCTGCCGCTGGAAGCCCGCCGCCACCAAGGTTTTATCCATCCATGGCTATGGCTAAGGCTGGGTCGCAAATGCTGGGGCAAAATTGTCGTACAGTTGTCGTCGAGAGAATCAAACAGCGATTCCCTAGTATGTTCCTTGCGTTTTACTGTGTTCTACTGCTTTCTTTCTATTCTTTTCGGAGACCTAACTGAAAACAATCCATACTAGTATATGGAATTTGTTTAAATTGTTGGAAGCATGTTGGAGGATGTCCAAGGAAAGCATTCTGGTTGCTTCATTAGCTGGCATTGCATTGGCCCTTGCTTTTCAGGAACCAGCACATATGCTGCATGACCTGCGGTCCACCCATGGGTGGCCCGATGGAAAGACATGGAAATCTTGCAAGAGTGGATAATGTTTCACACTAAATCATACTGATGTATATATAAAGTATCATAAAGTATTTGGATACATAACATATATACATTTAAGTCATTTATATTGCATGCTGTACACAGGTGTGCTGAAGTGTGTATATCAATAAATAAATAAATAAATATATATATATATATATTACATAGATAGATACGCGTAGAGCCGTTGAATGCCATGCGCACAATGTGAATTCAGATGGATTTAATGGCAGCATGTTTCAAGCAACTTGGTAACTTGTCCATTTTCTCCACGGCCATTTCGCGCAAGGCGAATATTTGCCAAGTGGCGAAATGGATCGCTCCGTTGGGCTTTCTCTTCGCTCTAGCATTGCATCTCGGCGAAAGGCTATTGTGCATTGAGGACGAAAACCAGCAGGATATGATATTAGATATCATATATCCAACATTTGATTTATATGTGAAATCGGCATTGATACTTGACGATCTCAATTTCCAGACACGGCGGAGAATTGTCAGATATACAGGGTCGGAGGGTTTCATTACCATAGCAGTCACATGCATCGGATTAGCCTTTGTAGTAGGCGTTTGCATAATAGGTGTATTCATTTGGCTTACCGAGATAGCCATTATCATTCGTGGCAGCCGCCTGAGGTATTGCTCGATGCTTGGTCATGGAGGCAGTTGTGGGAAGATTATTTTATGTGTGTTTATGCATGCTTTATATGTGTTTGCATGATTTTGCATAGCTGTTGGGGTAACGGTTCTGCGATACCCACTGGGGCATCTATGGCATCCAATATTTTTTAATCGGTTCAAAGCATTTGGCTATCCGAATTGGGACCTTTAAAGGCCAGCACCTTTGGCCTGAGCAATCCCATGTGGAGATTAAAAAAACTGGATCTCATTTTCTGTAGCCCCCTGCGTGCACATGTAGGGATGGTTTGTGGTGAGGCAACTCTGTTTTTTGGAGGCTTGCACTGTTGTACATGTACACAAGAGACAGAGGGAGAGAGAGAGAGAGAGATATATATATATATATATATTATATTCAAAAAGGACTTAACGAGTAAGTAGGGGCTCTCGACTCGTGTTCCAAGCTCCCAGCATGATGTACTACAAAGAGACATGTCCTCTTACAGGCCATCAAACCGGGCTGAAGGTTGATTCTTTCCAGCACCATTAGTCGCCCCCAAAATCGCGCAGCGTTTGGTGTTGCCTGCCAGATACATGATCATGCCATGTTGATCAATTATTTGTATTAAAAGCCACTGGATCCTTTTGATCACCCGAGGAACCAGGCGTACAAATATTCCAGTGTGGCCTTCCTGCAGTTCTGCAAGCAGGGCAATGTGGCCTTGATGTTCTTCATGACACTTGGCGGCCAGTTGGCCCCTGGTGGTTTGTCTTTCATATTTTTAATATGGTTCTCATGGAGTTATGGCCATCAGGACTTGCAATGATGTTATGTCTTACAACTAGGCACAGGATCGTAATTCTCCAGACTAAAGTGACCATAGAATGAGAAGCCATGAGATACCCTCTAGTTTGCCGCAAACCCAACATGTCGCCAAGACATGTTGGCTGGTACTGTGCCATTTGGCCCCGGGTTCATTTTTTTCCTCCCCCCTGAAAAAGGGGGGCATACTTACAGAGCTGCTAGATGCTATTAGGGGTTGATGGTGGTTTGTAACTGACCTTGTACTAAGGCTTTAAATTTCCATGAGAACTAGCATTCAACTCAAATTAAGCCGGTTAGCACAGTGAAAAACATCATGGACAAAAAAACCTGACAGCAGGGTTGATGTACTGTCAGAGCTTCCCGAACTTCGATCATTCTCATCGCCAGATTTGCAGCTGGGTGGTGCTTTCAACTAGATCTACCATCCCTGCTTAGGATGATAAACGCATTATCCCCAATTCAACTGATGATTGCTATTCTTGGGGGCTCAACCTGTGGCTCAGCCATCAACCTGATAGCTACCCGATCACCGTGGACTTCAGGTCCTGCGCAGTAGGAAGCCAGAGCTTCAGTTGGCAGAAACTCGCTGTCTTGACCGTTGTCATTGCGGGTTGTACCACGCCCCTTGGATCCCAAAGGGAGCTGGACGGGCCTTGGAGATAGGAGTCTAGTCTGGATTCTTCGGGACAACTGATTTAGGTTATATTGTTTCTAAAGCAACCAACACATAAAAAACAATAATTAATCAAGCTACTACAACTACATTATGTATTTATCATCTTTTGCAGTCGCCCTTTGAGCTCGCCTTCAAGAGAGAGAGAGAGAGAGAGAGATGTAAATTTATTTCTATATACGTATAGAAACATCCTTTGGTTTGTTGATTGCTTTCTCCACTAATTTTGTGTCTCGGTCCATTTCGCAATCTACAGCCTTTTCATTGCGCTGCCTGTTTTGGCACGAATGCAGAGGTGTGCTCATGGAGAAATCCACTTTGTGCCCCCTGGCAAATCTTAGGGGATGGGCATGTGCAATGTGCTAGCCGGCGGGTCTAAGAGTGATTCATTATTTATAGCCTGAGAAATGCCTGTGAGATGTTGTTTGGTTTTCAGCGTTTACTTCGGCAAACCCGCTAAAGTGATTGCGTTGTGGTTTAACAGTTTTGATATAACACATGAGTCATCACCTGCTGTTGAAGGGATTGAAATGGATCTGTTGAAGGCCTCTCATACCACATGCCAATTGATTACAACCTATTATATATATACACATGTAAGCACGCACAATTTCAGAGTATGTATCCTTGAAGGCCTCTCATGCCACTCAATTACGCTCTACAACATGTTATATCTATATAAAGGCAACATTATAAATTTATACTATATAATAAATAAATAAATAAATAAATAAATTACTCTACTTCGTGTGATCCCCACCATGACATGTCAGGACGTATATTTGGACATATATTTAGTATATTCTGACATCCTATCTGACATATATTCTGGCATATATTCTGGCATTCTATCTGGCATATATCCTGACATTCCACCTGGCATTCTATCTGGCAGTCTATCTGGCATTCTATCTGACATATTTTCTGACATTTCATCTGACATATATTCTGGCATTCTACCTGTCATTTATTCTGACATATATTCTGGCATTCTATCTGACATATATTCTGGCATATATTCTGGCATTCTATCTGGCATTATATCTGACATATATTCTTGGCATTCTATCTGACATATATTCTGGCATATATTCTGGCATTCTATCTGGCATTATATCTGACATATATTTTGGCATTCTATCTGACATATATTCTGGCATATATGTTGGCATTCTATCTGGCATTATATCTGACATTCTATCTGACATTCTATCTGGCATTCTATCTGACATATATTCTGGCATATATGTTGGCATTCTATCTGGCATTATATCTGACATTCTATCTGACATTCTATCTGGCAGTCTATCTGGCATTCTTTCTGGCATTCTTTCTGGCATTCTATCTGGCATTCTATCTGGCATCCTATCTGACATTCTATCTGGCATTCTATCTGGCAGGCATTCTATCTGGCATTCTATCTCCTACATGAGGTCCGGCAGGGAACACTGGGCGGATGGTCGTGGTTGAGGTCCGGCAGGGAACACTGGGCGCGGATGGTCGTGGTTGAGGTCCGGCAGGGAACACTGGGCGCGGATGGTCGTGGTTGAGGTCCGGCAGGGAACACTGGGCGTGGATGGCAGGGAACACTGGGCGTGGATGGTCGTGGTTGAGGTCCGGCAGGGAACACTGGGCGTGTATGGTCGTGGTTGAGGTCCGGCAGGGAACACTGGGCGTGGATGGTCGTGGTTGAGACAGCGAACACTGTGGATCGCGAGTCGCAGTTGAGCAGGAGGACGAGGAGGACAACGAGAGGAGGAGGAGGAGAGGAGGACGAGGCAGGAGGAGGCGGAGGAGGAGGAGGAGAAGGAGGAGGAGGAGAAGGAGGAGAAGGAGGAGGAGGAGGCAACTGACATAAAATCTAACAACCCTCACCTGGCAGGTGGGGAATAAATAAATAAATATATAAATAAATAAATATATATATATATATATAAATAAATAAATAGATAAATCAATCAATACATATATATATATTTATATAAATAAATAAATCAATACATATATATATATATGTGTTTGTGTGTCTCTGTGTGATATGATTATGTAATATCCATGCGCAAAATTTCACAAGCTCACGCTTCCTTCAAGGGCCCTCAGGATGATTGGTCTAGTGCTGCAGTTGGCATCGCAGCTCACGGAGTGCAGCAAGAACCTCATCGGAGAGGCAGTGCCTCGAGCGACGAAATATGGCCATATTTTGGAGATGGATATTTGCTGAAATTTCGGCCTTATATGGTAGGTAATTACCTTTAATTTAGGTCCCTAAACTGGTCATTGATTACCGAAAGAAATTTAGAAGTCAAACTTCCGACAATATGGACAGAAAAGCAGAGGTGGGAAGAGTCAGAGAAGAGAAGAGCGGAAGAGAGAAGATCAGAGAAGAGAAAGAGTCAGAAGAAAGAAGATGCAGGTGCGCGAAAAGGTAGGAGAAAGACTCAGAAGAAAGAAGGTCCAGGCGCACGAAAAGGTAGAATAGTCGCGAAGCCTTGTGCTTTTCCAGTAAGTTGGGGCTCCGGAGGGTCGACAAGTAGGCTCGCTAAAGCGGCGGGTGCGGAGCCATCTGGGGAGATGAGAGATGAAAAATTGCACGCCGTTGTGGCACGAAGCACTTTTGGAAGTTGAGATCTTGAAAAAGCGGCGAAGCACATTTCGAAGTCAAAAGTGTTAAAGCTGGCTGTCTCCAAGCACTTTTTGAAGTTAAGATGTCGAAAAAGTGTACGCCGTTGTGGCGCGAAGCACATGTCGAAGTCAAAATGTTAAAAGCACACCACATTCGGACCACTTTTGGATGTTCACGACACGACAACGACAACTACAGCTAAAACTACAACTACAACTACCGCTACACTACATTAATTACACCACAACTACAAGTACGACAACAACTGCAGCTACAACTGCAACTACACTACATTACACTACACTACCCCACACCACACTACACTGCATTACGCAACACTACACTAGCACTACAACGACAATTAGAAATACAAATGCAGATGCAACTACAAGTACAACTACAAATGCACATATACTACGCTACAGTACACTACACTAATTACACTACACTACACTAATTACACTACATTACACTGATTACACTACAACACTAATTACACTACAACTACGACTACAACTCCTACCATGACTACAGCTACAACTACAGCCAAAACCGCGTTACGCTACACTACGCTGCGCTGCGCTGCACTGCACTGCACTGCTGTGCTTCTGCTGCTGCTGCTACTACTACTACTGCTGCTGCTGCTGCTGCTGCTACTAGCACCGCAACCGCAACTGCAACTGCAATTACAACTATACTACCTTACACTATACTAATTGCAGTACGCTACAGTACACTACACTACACAACACTACATTACACTACACTTTTTACACGACACCGACACCACAACCACAACTGCAACTACACTACACTAATTGCACTACACTACAACTACAACTCCACTACACTACGCTGCAGCTACAACCAGCAGGTGCGGGTGAGATGACCACAGCAGCCATTCTAAAAAACACAACTCCAACCACTTTTCGGTCCATCAGTGGATTCGCTCTGACATCCATGCATCACAACAGTTCACTTCTCCTATAGTGTCCTATTTTTGAAACTTCCACCAGCGCTTTGTGCGGTACTGCTATGTACTACTGGTATATATATATATATATATTTATATTATAGATTGAAATTATCAAAGGAACTAACGGGTTAGTGTATATAATTAATAATTATCATATATTTCAATCTAACGAATGATATTTAATACCATCCCTCCAACGAACAGTTTGTCCTGAGAGCCTGAGAGCCGGCCACTTTTGCAGCAGAGTAGTGCAACCTTCAGCTCACGGCAGGGTCGATGTTTGTTTCGGGGATGTTAAATATTAATAACAATGATTAAGTTACAGTATGCTATTCTTAGGATTTGATCAGGTTAACAATATTACTTTTACATAATATTCTGCTTTGTTCAGATTTGGTCATGTAACACTTGGATTTCACAAATTGCATGACCTCAATTGGGGTAGTTGACATTGATTTAGTCACTGAAATGCACAACAAAATGACCGTGCATGTTTTCGACCCAACTCTTCACACGGAACGGAAAAATTTGATGTTCGTTCGTTGAAGCTGTTAGGGTTTTCCGCCCCCACACCCCCGGAATTGCATTTGTTTCAGGTTCGATGTTCCAATGGCTGAGGTTTCACATGGTTTCACACCAAACGAATATATATATAATATTATATATATGATTATCTTTATATAAAAATAAATATAAAAGTGTAATGTACATATGTATAATTATGCTATACTGTGTGTAATGTACATTATGTTTTTGTATATGGTTGCATATGTAATTAACATTTGTAGTTGTCGTATGTTTCTAACTACAGTAAACCCAACGACCTTCTGAATTTATATGTTCGTTCTTTGAATTTAGAGCAGCATTGTGCGTCATATCCTCAAGTTTTGTGTTGCCTTCTCCTTGGCATGCAGCAAGGTCATGGGGAGTGCTGGCTTAAAACTCGATGTCTTGACCTTTGTGCTCTTCCAGGCACAATGCGCACATACGCCCCATGTTTGGATTGGCTGGAAACCTGGAAATTGCTGGCTATGCCCAAGGGCAATGGAGAGAAACATACCCAAGATTGGCCATGAGTACGTGAGATTTTGAGGTAAAAACCATTTGTGACATCCTGGTTTTCTGCTATTATAAGGTGTTTCTCACAGAATATCTTCACAATAGAGATCATTATAGTCAGACTGCTGAAGTTTGGGTGTGGTAAGGACATCACCGGGAAATTTGCAGGGAAATTGTCACGAAACCATCAGCTACATCATGCTACTTGTAAGGGTTACTTGTAAGGGTTGAGTACTTGGTTTCCTGCACTGGTTCACTCCAGCGGATATGTTCCAATTACCATCCACGTATATCCACGCACCGTTGTGCACATCAGATCGTTTTTGGTTGGATGATTCATTTCCTGTCGACTGATTGAATGCTTTGTGCTGCGGAATTGTGCGTCAGACAAATCACGTGTTTGGTTGGTTGGAGCACGTCAAACCGATATTTTTGTTGTTTATTCCAGTTAATGTTGAACACCATGTTTTGATATTTTTGATACGAAGAATGACCGGCCTTTTCTGGGCTCATTGGTACCTCAGTTTTGAGCTATACTCGTGTGTGTTGGTTGATGTTTCCGGTGCTTCAATTCCCTTTTTGTTGCCGCTTAAATCTCACTGGGTGCTACCCTCTGGTGAACTAACATAGCAATGGAAAATGGCCCAGTCGAAATAGTGGATTTTCCCATTAATAGCATGGTGGATCTTTCCATGGCAAAATGTTAGTTCACCAGAGGGTAAATCCCATTAAATCCCATTAAATCCCATTAAACCACTATTAAATCCCATTAAAACCACCATTTTCCTATGGTTATTGCTGACAAATACCCTATGTTTGTTGCTGACAAATCACTATGTTTCCACGGGTAAAATATCCCCAAAGTGTGACTTAATTTAAGTGTCGCTTCTTCACCATTTTTTGGCCATTTTTTGGCCCCAAGGTTTTTTCCACTTAGCATCCAGTAAACTAAGATAAACTATAGACAATCCACCATTTTTATCAGATAAATCGTCCTATAAATGACGATTTTCAATGGCAAACTGTTAGCTTACTGGTGTGGCTACTATGGAAAGTCACCATGAGAGTTCTTGGATGATCTTTAGTAATTCAACATGGCGCCATCTTAAGTGACCCTAGAACTCCTAGAACTCCCCACATTTCGTCTATATTTCGGGGGTTTGCCAGGCGTCCACATTTCGTTGCACCAGGCGCCCTTCTCTTTGCTCTTCCTCTCGGTGGGCGTGTGCTTCTCCTGGACTCCAGAGGTGGTCACAGACTTCAGGAAACAGAGCCTTGGACAGCGGGTCATGACAGCGTTGATGCTTTGAATGAACGTATACCGTGAAGCCAATTAAAAAAAATGAATATATATATATATATATTTGATGGTATTGTATAATATCAATATATATATATATGTATAGATATGATTCCACTGTGTCTGATAATCTATAGTTGATAATAATAATAATATATATATATATATTTATTTATATATATATATGATGGTATTAGTGTATGTTAAATATAATGGATATTGACATTGATATTGTGATAATATTGTGAAGCCAAGGGGATTTCTCTGGATAGTAAGGATGATATTATAGTGTATATTCGTTTGGATATGGATTTATATTTAATGGTATTCATATTGATCAATATTAATGGATATTGATACTAGTATTGTGAATGGATATGGATTGATGTTGATAGATATGAATGGTACTCATATTAATGACTATTAATGGATATTAGTGTAAATCAGTGGATATGGATTGATATTGATAGATATTAATGGTACTAATATTAACGGGTAGTCATTGGTCAATGCTAATGGCTTAAAGTGAACATGAATTGTTTTTCCTCATTCCATATCCTGGCTATCAATGTGGTGACCCTGCCATAAACCATCCCAAAAAACGCCATATCCGATCGAAATTTGCGCAAACATGTGTGATGAAACAGCTATAGCAGCTAAGGGAGTGATTGGATGACTTATTGAACACCACCGACCTGACCGACCTTGTGTGTAATTTCCAGATAGTGTATTGGGGGATGTTACCATGGACAATTGACGTGTAATTTGCTGTCCCCAGCAGAAGAGGTTTGGGGATGTGACAAGTGAACTTCAACTGATTCAACTCCAAACAGATTGACCAGTGAGGAATTGATCAAGAAAAGATGGTGTCACCAGCACAAAATCATGTATCTAACACAAACGTAGTTTAAGCACTCCAGATGTGGATGAAACCAACAAACATACACGCTTCAACCAACATAGTCCACAGTCTACGATTTAACACAAACAGCAGCACCAGCACCAGCACCAGCAACAACAGCAACAGCAACGACAACGACAGCAACAACAGCAGCAGCAGCAAACAAATAAACCGGTGTAGAGATGGAAACAGCGGTTGTTTTTAATATATGTTAGCTTATGTTAGCTTTCATACTAGTGATGTGTTTGTTCCATCTTGTTTTTTGCTGGTGCAGATGCTCCAAAATGACCTCACCATGAGTGACCTGGTAGGTTGCAAGGGGAATCATCCCTTTTAAACAGGTTGACGTACGTAGTTTCAGTTAAGGAGTTTATGTTTCTATGATTGTCATGTTCACTGTCATTATTATCATTACTGCTGTTACATTGTTTTGTAGTGACCATACTAAGTTCTGCGTAATTTGCGCATATACTCCATGTTATTTCAATCTTGCGATTCATGCATATAGCATAGTTTTCAGTGAACGATTGCAAAGTGAATAGTTATTTGATTTCATGATATATGCAAGTGCTATAGCGAATTGCTACAAATTCTTAGATCAATGATCCAAAACCAGCCGTGTTTGCGTCCCACCAGTTGGCATTGGCTCATGGTGAACGCATGCATCGCATTCCTTCTGAACGTGCCTGGGCTGAGTTCCAGTTTGTGTGGCAAGTTCCACAGGGAAAGTATGAGAAAAGATGGGAATCTATGGGAAAACATGGAACATATAGAAATATCATCATAGAGCATGGGATTTCCGGGCACCCTATGTTCACAGAAACCTTGGTTGGATGGTGACCGGTGGTTTTTTGTTCAATTTAAGCGGCCACAAGTAGCAACTGTGGAGGAATTGCAACTGTTTCAAACCCAAATATACCGTATATCTATAAGTTATAAGACCCTGTAAGATCCTATAAGAAACTAGTCATGACGTCCCAAAGTTCTGGACGTGGTCACGATCTCCTTAGGTGTTGGATTTATGTGATCCATCCATCAGTGGGTCCTCCAGGTGCTGATAGCTGTGACCTTGAAGAAACTCTCCGCCTTAGCCTTTGTGATCATTGGCGTCGTCAAGGAGATGGCAGACGTGTTTTTTGTTCGCCCTTTTTGGAAAGGGTTTGAAGGGAGACTGAACATGGGCCACCATGTAATTCATCATCGTATAATCATAATCATTTAATGATATACTAATATATCATCATGATCCCTATTAACTATTGCTGGGATATTCCCAACTGAATAATATTTTTCAGAAGGGTTGAAACCACCAACCAGATTAATTGGGGATAATATTGGAGCGCTCTGACACGCAGCGATGTATCCTTTTCTTCTGGCAGGACATGGTGATCGTCTCCTCTTCATCCCTAGTCTTTGGGGCGCCTTGGAATGCTGAACGAAAACGAGCCGAAGTCTCTAGTTCCCCCAGTGATAACATATAGAGGTTTCCTAAAACGGGGGGACCTCCAAAGCATCAATTTTAATAGAATTCTCACTATAAACCATCCATTTTTGGGTACCCCCATTTCAAGAAACGTTTATTTACCTTTTCATCTCGAGCTCTGGCACACATAGTTTTGAATTTGGGGAAGACGCGCGTTTTCTTACTGACTGTCAGGGACATGCCTCTCCATCCTTTGGCAGCATTTTCTGCCATAATGGTTTGGCCACGTCGGTTGTTTGAAGCCCGTCTCACTTATCTAAACTTCCAAATCCTCTGCAGCGTTTGGATTTCCTTAGACTTAGAACAGTAAGCTGCTGGCCACTCCAACGCAACGTACATCATTTGATTTCTGGTTTCCAAAAGTGTTTCTGATCCATATTAATGTGAGTACAGCAATCCAAATGGGTGGTTCATGACGCATTGCCCAATAAAATTGTAGATAAACATAGATAAACACTTGAACAATGAGAAATCTACTTGATGATATTTTTTAATGATCATTTACTCGGTAATTATGGTAATTATCATCTCAGATCCCACCGGCATTCGGCTGAGGACCCCATCAGTCAGGCGCAGCAGGTGGGCTTCGCAGTGACCATCACTGGAGTCTTACTCTGGAGCCGCCTGAAGCTTCAAGAACAGGTGCGGAAGGGGGAGGGAACGTGACTGGAGCCATTTATGATATTTATGTTGAACATTGTGTAAAACGCATGTTTTCCCGGAAATCCGATTCATCATCCGATTCATCATCCAGTTTCTCTATAAAAAATGCAAAAGAAACGTCGGTTCATGTCATTTCCTATATATAATTATCGAAGGAAGTTTAGAAGTGAAACTTCCGACAATATGGACAGTTGAAAAGCAGAGGTGAAAGTCGCGAAACACTGTGTTTTTCCAATGATTTGTGGCTCCGGAGGGTCGAAAAGTAGGCTCGCTAAAGCGGCGGGTGCGGAGCCAGCTGGCCAGATGAGAGATGAAAAATTGCACGCCGTTGTGGCGCGAAGCACATTTCCAAGTCAAAATGTACAAAGCACACCATGCTCGGACCACTTTTGGAAGTTGAGATGTCGAAAAAGTGCACGCCGTTGTGGCGCGAAGCACATTTCCAAGTCAAAATGTACAAACACACCATTCTCGGACCACTTTTGGAAGTTGAGATGTCGAAAAAGTGCACGCCGTTGTCGCGCGAAGCACATTTCGAAGTCAAAAGTGTAAAAAACTGACGGTCTCAGACCACTTTTGGAAGTTGCGATGTTTAAAAAGTGCACGTCGTTGTGGCGCGAAGCACATTTCGAAGTCAAAATGTACAAAACACACCATTCTCGGACCACTTTTGGAAGTTGAGATGTTGAAAAAGTGCACGTCGTTGTGGCGCGAAGCACATTTCGAAGTCAAAAGTGTACAAAACTGAGGGTTTTGAGCCTTTTTTGACGTTACGATGTCGAAAAAGTAGACACTGATTAACTTAACTAACTTGACTAACTTAACTAACTTCACTAACTTAACTACCCTAACTTCGACGACAACAGCAACAGCAACAACAACAACAACCAACAACAACACACTACAACTACAACACAACAACTACAACTACAAACAGAACTACAACTACACAACAACTACAACTACAAACAGAACTACAACTACAACAACTACAGCTACTACAACTACAACTACAACTGCAACAACAACAGCAGCAACAACAACAACTACTACAACTACAACTACAACAACAACAACTACAACTACAACTGCAACTACAACAACAGCAACAACAACACAACTACAACTACAACAACTACAACTACACTACACAACAACTACAACTACAACTACACAACAGCTACAGCTACAACTACAACAACAACTACAACTACAACAACAACAACAACTACAACTACACAACAACTACAACAACAACAACTACAACTATATGACTGCAACTACACTACACTAATTACATTACACCACAACTACAACTCCACTACGCCACAACTACAACTACAGTTAGCAGTACATCACACTACATCCAGCAGTTGTGGGTGAGGTGACCACTGCAACCATTGGAACCACTCCAGCAAACACAACTCCAACCACCTTTCGTTCAATCAGTGGATTCGCTCTGCCATCCGTGATTCACAACAACCAACGTCTCCTATAGGTTTCCTATTCTGAAACTTCCGCCACCGCCTTGTGCGGTACTACTGGTATAATAATTATTGTTATTATTATTGTTGTTGTTATTATTGTTATTGTTATTATTATATGTTTCCTTCAGCTTATCCAGCCAATCCATCGTTCAACATGTCATCCATCGACGATGACGACGGGATCCAGGCCGCACGACGAGATCCAGAGCGCCTACCTTTGGCGAAACAGGAGGGGCATGACATGACAGTGACATGATTTAAGAGCCTTAAGTTTGCATTAATATATATATATAAATATATATATATAGAGTAACCCCACCCCCCCAAAAAAAAAAAAAATATCATACATCAGCACCATTTTAGTAGGATTCTATATTTTTTGGGGCTTGCTGTAAGTGGTAAACAAATGTTCAAATGGATTTGACGTTACACAAATTGATAGATTGGCAGCATACATGGAATGCGCATGGATATTAATGGATATTATGGATTTATGGATTATATTGGATTATTATTTGTTTGATTATTATGGGATTCCGGGGAAATCACAACTTGCTGCATTGCCAGAGGGTTACCAGCACTATTTTGCTCAGGATGTGAAGGTCAAGTAGACGCAACGTGACGCTATGGGAACGCGATGTTGGTGGTACCAGCATTGAAACTATCAACGGGAAATTCAGGATCCAAAAATGGAGGTACTGTAATTACCATATAAGGCCATATTTTGTGGGGACATTCCCTCACATAGGCCTTACATAGGCCTTACATATGGTAGGTACCTCCAATTTAGGTTCCTGAAATGGCCATTGAAACTCTATATATATATCATGACGTGTATAGTATAGTCCTGAAAATTCATGTTTGAAAATGACATATGTCATTAAATGTCAGTAGTATAAGTATACACTATATATTAGACAATATGTCATTGAAACCACTTCATCGAACATTCTGCTTTCATGCGTATATGATTTGCTTCTTTTGGTTGGTGTTGGAAGCCCCATTCAGATGGATGTGAATGGCGCCGTTCATAACTATTTTGGAATTCACCTTGGCACATTGACAAGAATCCCATAGATTCCATGATTTCCCATGGGGTGACCATGATTTACATGCTTGTGTTTTGCCATGATGTTCAGTCAATGTTCCATGATGTTCTCTACATGATTTTGCCCATTTTTTTTCATCTATGGTTTTTGATGGGTTTCCATAATTTCCATGCCTTCACACATGATTTTTCATGGTGCATCAAGTTTTCATGATCTTCCATGAGCATATTGCCGCATTTCCGATCCATTTCCAATACTGCAGGTACTTTCAAAGTCCGTCCTTCGCAACGCGCAACGGCTGCCGGGCTGGCCTCATGAGGACACCCCACATGCAGCGATGACAAAAAGATGGTGAGATCCTGGGTGGTACGGTACTGGGGCTGTAACCTCTATCTAACTCATGTTTGAATCATTGAGAGAGACCCCCCAACTAACAGTAACATAGATCCTGCCATGGGTTGGGTCGGAAAACTACATACTTTCCTCTGAACATTGGCTATTCTTAGGGTCCATGTTAGTTGATGGCATGGTAGATCCTATTAAAAAAGTGGCAAATAGTTGTTCTTCTGATTGGAGGATGGTTTTACAATGTTTTATTTATACAACGAAATTAGTTAAACACCAATATCGCAGGTTTAGCCACTCAAAACAGGATTCTAAATGGAGACTACCATCCACATAATTTTCCATAGCAATGGAAATCCTGAATGGGTAAGGTATAGTAACAGATGCACTACGTTTTTTTGTGGTCACGTTTGATTACCAGATGAAATTTGATATAAGCATGAAAGTGGAACCCCCTTTCTTCTCAGATCTTCTCAGCAGGAAACACCCGTTTTATATTCCCATTGGTCATGTTCCACTTCTTTGTTTTTGTGTTTTGGTGTATGTGCGGTAGGAATTCTATGGGTTTTTGTGAGGGCAACCAAGGGCGGTCGGTTTCCAATCAACCAAGGCCTAACCTGGAGTGGGCGTGGAAAGCAGCCATGTTTGCCATCCCCGTTCCCTTTACGGGCAAGCGTGCGGGGTGTCTCAGCGGCCGAAACTTGAAGGCTAAGCGGCTAAGGCACCAGAGTTGATTCTGGGGATGATGGAAATGAAATGGGCATTCGATTGCTGGGTTCAGAATTGGAAAGCTGACGTTGCTTAGCATCTTTGTGGATTTCTGGCGGTATTGGTAAAGGGATGGTAAAGGGTGCTGCTTTGATCTTGATCGAAAAGTATTATGTGGTACAGGCCGAATGTTGAACGATTTGAGCTTCTGTTGTTCTTTCATCCTGCCCTGTGGCCTTAGACCTTGGGATGCCGAACTGCAAAACGATTGTTCTTCCCATTTAGCTGAAAGGGTGTTGCGTGAAGTGATAGCGAATGGTGCATATCAATCCAGTGCTGTTGCTGATGGTGGCATCAGATACCGAGTTGTGCACCCAGTTTGTGCCCCACTTTACCACACCCCTTGGCAACCCCCACTGGACTGGATGAAACCATTTGCAGCCGTTGGTTCTCCAAAGGAGACAGCATATTACTGTAGTTCAGAGAAGCAATTCATGAGGCTGCTGAATGCATAATCTTGAAGAGTTACATGCAAAAGATTTGAGGTTCAAATTGTGTAGAAGACGATCAAATTAAGCAGCTTAACAGTGACCATATTCACTTGGAGGGTCCCCCTTTCCATTGTTTGGCTTTGGAGGACAACGTTCTCGGCAATCCTCACACGCATTTTTGGTATTTCCCAACTTTTTGATGCCCCAACCAATTGGTTTCCTGCAAATGGTGGATGATCTTGATTGATCTTGTGGCCACTTTCAACAGAAATTCACACAAAATGGTCATTTCTCAAAGCATGGACCCTTTTAATGGCGTTTCCAATTTCTTGAGAAAATATGTATGATATATAACATACATATAGTTTATTTGGATATCTCAGACTGCAAACCAGCTGGGATCTTGGCAACCTTTCTACCGAAATCCGCTCCGCATGGTGTGCAGCGTCATTTACCATGCCCAGAGGCACTGAACCAACTGGGGGTCGAAAAATGGGCAGCTATGGGCACACAATTTTGCCTACATACGATTTTGTTGAATTAATAAGATTTTGACGTTTTACTATATTATTCCTTTGGTCGAGCATGCGTTTTTTCCTCCACCCCATGGGTTGTGATATTCAATTTGCGCATGGATATTGAAGGGTTCAAGTTCTACATCTCATTTGAGGTTGGCATGCTTGAGGGTCCCAATCTATAAATCTACCGACGTATCTATCTAGCCATGTATCTAATCTAATCTAATCTAATCTTGTCTTATCGTATTTTATCTTATTTTACTGTATCTTATCTTATCTTATATTATCTTATCTTATCTTATCTATCTATCTATCTATCTATCTATCTATCTGAATTTATCTATCTGAATCTATCTGAATCTATCTGAATCTATCTATCTATCTATCTATCTATTTATCTATCTAATCTACCTATCTACCTATCTACCTATCTACCTATCTATCTATCTATCTATCGATCTATCTATCGATCTATCTATCTATCTATCGGTCTATCTATCTATCTATCTATCTATCTATCTATCCATCCATCCATCCATCCATCTATCTATCTATCTATCTATTTTGATCTATTGATCTATCGATCTATCTATCTATCTATCCATCCATCCATCTATCTATCTATCTATCAATCTATCTATCTATTTATCTATCTATTTATCTATCTATCGATCTACCTATCTATCTATCTATCCATCCATCCATCTATCTATCTATCGATCTATCTATCTATTTATCTATCTATCTATCTATCTATCTGTCTAATCTATCAATCAACCAATCAATCAATCAATCTATCTATCTATCTATCTATCGGTCTATCTATCTATCTATCGATCTATCTATCTATCTATTTATCTATCTATCTATCTATCTATATATATATATATATATTATATATATTTATTATATATTATATGTTATATATTATGATATTTTATTTTTGTTCAATTATATGTTTTTTTATAATCCATATCTATGTTTGTTTCTATCCCTGCAAAGGTACATGTAATGTATGTCTATAGTCTATATTATGCAAGACTAATGATGTATTCTCGCATAGCATTCCCCAAACAGCTTGGGTGTTCTGCAGGCACAGCTCCAACACCTTTGTGTAACACACCCTTATGGTTGTGAGTGGAATTTCTGTTTGAGTGAGGATCGTTTCATATTAAGTAAATACCCCTAATGAATTCCGATTTAGTGTTGGGTCATGTTGGATCTATGCATTTTGGGGGATGGGTTTAGATTCTGCGGCTGCAAGATACTTCAAGTGGGCAGCCCTCAGCTAGAATAGCCAGAATTGAATGTCTCACCAGCAGTTGGATGATCTGAAGTGATCACCGAGTTTATTTGCAGTGTTTTGCCAACTGGCCTCGATGGGATGTTTTTTTTCCCCTTTCTGTTGCCACGTGCGGATTGCACACACACAAGTACAGCTACCACCTCATTTCATGGTCGATTTCGGCTATGTTGAGGCGTTGAGGCCCAGATTTTGTGTAGCCAAGCAGCTAAAAGTACCACATTCCAAGATGGCTGTTCGGCCATACCAGGTACACACGATATGAGGAGTACCGGCAGGACTGCTTGGCTTTGGTAGGAGGGTACGGTTCATTGGGCAAAAAAAAACACATGATATTTATGGCGTTGAGTTTATTACACCAATATGGTGATATGGCCACTGCTTTGGAACCACATTGGTTGGAAATTTGCAAGATGAGCTGCCAAGATCCTTGCCCTTTAGGATCTTGATTGTTACACTGCAACTATTATCACTATTGGTGATGCCATGGGTTTGCATAGTTATATCCCAGGTTTTGCTGGTTGATTCTATCGCTGTTTTATTTTTATTTTTGTATAGTATACCCACAAGGCACGCTTGCAGACTATTGTGCAACTGTTTCTTTGCGGCCAGTCTTTGCCGATCAATTTTCAGTGTGTTTTCTGTTTTATGTTTGATCAGCTTATGCCACTGTTTTCGTTGGTCATGAAGTTGCATTCCACTGTTTGTATTTTTTTGTCCCATGTTTTGCCTTGATGGAAATATAAGAGACATATGAACAAGGTGCCTTTCTTTCCAACGGTATAGTCATGGTTTCCATAGTTTGTTCCTAACATCTTTTGCAACCCAACGGTATAGTTTTGCAACCCAATGTCTTCATCATAACCCAATGATGTTTGACCGCCAGGGGCTTTCCAGATCCTGCAATGGTGACTTGGGCCATCTTGGGCCTGGATGGTTCATCCAGTGGAGGTTTGGTGCAGCCCTGGCTTTTTCGGCTCTGCCCAAAAAAAGGCTCTTGAGTTAGTTTCGAAAATGGGCTGTGCATCCCAATGTATTGCATTTTTTGTAGGAAAAAATGATCATCAGCTTCGATGAATCTATCAAAGTTGGGGAATGTGGGCGATTTTCCTAACATGTTCAAAGCAAAGCCATGGAACCCCCAACGAAACAATGCAGTAATTAGTTTTCATGACTCCTTCATGTCTTCGCGGCCTGAGGGAAGAACTTGGTCCAAGGTGCAGGGGCAACTGTGATGTTTGGTGGGTTTTTTTAATGACATCGACTTGGGGCGTTACCACTTCCATAGCGAAAATTCATATGGAAACATCAGGTAATGATTTGAATGACATATATAATCATATATATATAATCATGAGCCATTTGTCCCTTCTTTGAATGCAGATGGAGCGTGACGACATTATGCTTTGTAAAGCATAGACTGCGGCACTAGGGTCGCTTCCCAAGTGACATATGCTTTGGCTGTTGAGCTTTGCTTCCCTTGGTGAGCAATTACATGATTACCCATCATCCATTTAGGACCCCCATGCTTGCATTTGTCTGTATATAATATGTATATATATATATTTATATGATTATATTTTAATCATATATACATATGTAAATGAGTAATTATGCTTCTAGTATAAGCAATAGGTAAGATTGATTGCTTGGTTGATAAACAGTGGTTGACAATGACCACAAATCAAACAATCAGGACAATAATATATATATATATATATTTATATACACACATAGTTCACCGGCGGGTGAAACCCCATATATTTATATTTAAGTAATCCATTTATATAATGCATCTCTCTCTCTCCCTCTCTCTAGATGTGCATATTCAATTTTGCATCCTGCTGTGCGGCTGGTCCAAATCAACTGGTATTTGGCAATTTGGGGATGGCTCAACCTTGGGTCACCCTCACGGGCACAATGGGTTGGACCAAGAAATATGTCTACCAACCAGTGCTAATATCAGTGCATATGATC